GCCATGCCTAAAACGCCCGTTCAGGATAGTCCTGATACTTGGTCAATCTTTGCCTTCCACTTGTTGCCAGAAGATCGACGGTTCTGCTGGGCTGCATGAGTTGCCGGCTGGACTGAAGAAAAATCTCCCAGAAAAGAGTGCCTTCGGCTGTGAGACTGACGGACGCATTCCTGCAGCGTAAATTGGGCTCTTACTACCACCATGCCCTTCTTTCTCTCACAAATGGGTTTCCTCAGGATCGAGATTGGAGAAAAGGGCTATACCCCAACTAAAGCTTGTAGATGAAAATCAATCATCTGGTTGGTGCCTGATCAAACTGCACGACTTCTTGCCGGCTACTTATTCCGCGCCTACAGGTACGGTCGAGATGGAAATTTCGCGTCAACTGAGCACCATTATTCTCACATGTGCTCCTAAGGAGCCACAAGCACAAACTTGTTGATCCCCCATGTCGTATTTGCCACGGACACTGTCACCCCTGGTCTCTCAGGTGGCCAAGGTACTCCTGACAGCAAGGCAAAAGGAAAGGCCCTCGTCCAGGGTGTCAGAGTTCATGACGGGAACAACGGAACGATAAGAGCTGAAATGAGCCTGGAGACAAATGAAAATCGATGCTCAACCCATCTCAGCCGCGGCCTAGCTAGCAAGCTCGCTTAATGGATCTCGATGATTGGGTATCTGCTTGTCACGTTGTTCCAATGCCGCAGAAATCTGTGTCCTTCTTGGACTATTCCTCACAGGCTAAAACAAGAGAAACTATCGTACGAGGCTCGAAATTCGAGCCACAACAGGGAGGAGCTGGGTCCCAATGATGGGCTCGTGTTCGCCAACCGCGGAATGCCGCTAATAGAGCCCCTAAGACGGTCTCAGGCGTCACTTGAGGGTACGTCGTCACCTCGTCAGTTCAAGGCAGGCCAGGCCAGCCCCTCAAGTCTCGGACCAAAGTGCCGGCACCCCCGCTCTGCCACGGGGATCGCAACGATGACTACCTCAGAGAGGAGTCGCCTCCAATTTGTGCCGTCCTGAGTCTAAAGAACTGTTCGGACTAGTCTGGTCGCCCAGTTGTCGCGCCTCCTCGCTGGTGCGTCTGGCAGAGTCGAACAGACCGCAATGGACCGACAAAACAAGACGGCAAGCTCCGGCCTAAGAAAAAGATTGGTTACTTGTTCATTGCCAGCCAGGGAGAGACACACAGCGCCAAGGGTGGGTGGTTGTTCCAGACTATTGGACTTTCAGCATCGAGAATTGCAGACTGACAGCTGCATGCATGGGTTTTTTTCTACAAGAGGCCACTCAGTGCAGCGCCACTGAGTAAAGCGTCAGCCACCATGTCAACTCTCTTTCAGGCTGCGAGGACGCCCATGTTCTTCTCAGCTGGCGAGTGCAACCCACGGGGAGCTGCCAAGGTCAGGAATGCGCCTCATCTTGCCGTGCGTTGAACGCCATGTGTGGGTGCGGTGGGTGAGTATGTGCATCTCTTGCCCGTGCACAGACGAGTGCCCCAACCCCAATCCTTTTCAATTTCAGCGTCCAGGCCGATCTTGATTTCCATTAGTGCAAGACCGAGGACTTCGAATGTGATTCACGAGATTGGGTTCCTCCTACTACTAGCCGCGTAGACAAGGGCGTTTGTGAAGTTTCATACATTGACGGGAGATAAGCGATCGTCTCCTGTGTAGTAGTCTGTACGGGGTACATAGTTTGGAGGATCAGCCAGCAGCCGTGTACCAAGATTCCCTTTCTCTCGGGAGTTAGCTCAGGCCCGGCTCGCTCGCCTGGGAAGATTGGTTTTTTGTTGAATGGAATGCTCGATGCGTCTATTGCTTGTGCTCTGTATCCAGTTCTGCAAAGGAAAGGGGATGAATAGCCGAACTGGCTGTAAGGGGGACTCCAATGCTGCTTGCTCGGTTGGAGTTTTGGTTGGAGGGACTGTGCCCCGACGGCTCCAGCCAGCACAACGCCAAGTGAACGCTACTGGGGTCAAGAGGACTGAATGGCTCGTTTACCCAGCCGCGGCGGGGAGTCCGTGCTGTGGTTTGGCATAGACAAAATTTACGTGAAGTCTATGATGGAGAGAAGCTGTGGGAGGACATTGCAAAGGAGGAATCAGATGACTCAACATCGGTGGCTTGTTGTTGGAACCCTAAAAGCCAGTCACTAGTTCTCCTCGTATCAATATCAGGCAGATTTCATGCATTTGGAGTGATTGCAGAAGAGCAAACAAACTGAGCGGGTATGTAGGGAAAAATGGTAGGCGTCCGCGGATGCCCTGTTTGGAACCTTTGGTGTTCTGATGAAGTGGTTTCGGATTGCTTCGCCAATCGAGTCTACCTACATTGCAATTAGCTGGAAGAGGGACAGTGGTTTGATTCGTATTCCTCCATTGCAGACTGTGCGACCCATCCGATTTGTCGAGTAGCCCATCATGTCTGCATCAATGACGCCGACGCCCTCTTTTTTTCTTCTTTTCTTCTCGCTACAATGCAGCACTCTGAAGGGTATTCGCCAACTTGGGATGGGAAGCACGTTGAGTGGTCAAGTGTCAAGTGTCAAATGTGTCAGGAAGTCAATGAGTCAGACTGGGTTTGTCTTTCTTGAGGCGTTTTCGGAGATGGGTGGTGGTTGAGAATGGACATTGGATGCAATGAATGCAGGCACTGAATCTGAAAGGTACTGGGACAAGTGAATACAAAGTCAAGGATAGCTTTCTGGTTGCTAGAGTGGAGGTGGCTGTTGATCCCCGGGCCTATCATATGGGCTCTAGCTAGTAAGTTAAAGGAGTGGCTGCTGCACCAACTCGCCTACCTACCAACACCCGCAGGTCACCTCTCACCTCTCACGTCTGACCTCTCACTTTTTCTTCCATCTCAACTTCACCTGCGCTCTTGTCCATCCATCCCCTTTGCGCCCACTCTTCACTCTTCCACTATTACCATTCCACCATTCCTCCTTTCCACATGTCACACCCAATCTACACCCTGGTCATCCCCCATCATTGCATTCTCTTGCTGACCTCGGGCTCTCTTGTCTCTCTTGTCTCTGTCATCCTTCACCCACCACCACCATCGTGCCATCATTGATGAGTTCCTAAAGTTTCTCCACAAATCCTAATCGCCCTTCCCAATTCCTCCCCCGGTCCAAGTGCCAGTGGCGCACCAACAAATTTCTTGACCCTACCCTAATCATGAACTGGGTTACTCCATCGGGACCCCTCTCTACCTGCCTCCTGCATACATCCTCGTACAGCTCTCGCCAACTTGCCTACCCATCCTTTCCGTCGACCGTGGACCGTGCGCAGACACACACCCTCTCCTCTACCTCCCTCCCTCCCTCACCTTCGCCCACACCAGTCGCTACTGGCGTTGATCGACTCCAAGTCACTCCACCCATGTCGTATCTCACCCGCTGCTGTTAAAACCTCCGTGCTCTTCCCCCTTCTAGCTGCCTCCTGAGCTGTGGGAATATCCACTCCCAAACCCACCAGAAACCCTGATCAACCTCCCCTTGCTCCTGTCCCTCCCCCGGGTCTCCATTCCACGCCATCCACTGTCCATGGATAGCCTGCCTCCCCCCCTCCGGCCCGCCCTCAGTCCACCTCTATCCCGTCACAATTTAGCGCTCATTATCCCTGTAAGCGATCGGCAAGGGTCAGATGGCATGCGTTACGCTGGTTTGTAGCCTCCAGAGTTACACAGATGCAAGCGGCCCACGAGGCCGCCATCCCCCATTGACTCCTAACTGTCCGATCCTAGAGGCCTAGGTCTATCCGTCCAGCCCGTCACCTCGTCGTGCCCGCCCTCCACAGAAAACCACAAATCAGCGCACATCTCTCAAGAACGGTTCATGACAAGGACAACTTTTTGCTTTTTCGCCTCCCGTAAATCTCATCTGATCTGATCCTGGTTCTTTTGGTCAGAGCAGCGCTACCTAGTGTCTGCCTAGGTAGATAACCAACCCCTCTTCCACGCTTACACCGCACGCGACAGACTTTCTCACCTGTGCGCACTTCAGGCCCTTTCTCCACTTCCATTTGTTCCATCTCTGCTCCAAAGGAAAAAAAAAAGTTCTTTGAACCTATTGAAGGGCTCTGGGGTTACACACAACGGTCCAGCTCCATCTTGTACACCAGGCCACATTAAATCTGTCAACGGAGTTCTGTTATTCGCATCTTGGTTTATCTGACACCTCGTCCGTCGCAGTAAAACAGCCAGAACTTACACACATCCTCGCCAACACAAGGCCGGTTGCTCCGTAGAGTCGCCAGGGCTGAGGGTCGAGAAATCACCTGCGGCACATGGAACAGGGCACACTGTTGGGGTGACACAATATCTGCATTAAGAGCCACCCGCCGTTCATTCCAATCTACCGCGTGCTGTGTAACTCGCGGCGACCATTCTAGTGGCCTTGTTGCCATGAGGCACGTCTTGAGCAATCATTGGTGCCCGGCTCTGAAGGACAACAGCACTTCTCGCAAACATTCAGCTTGCTAGGACCACTTTCAGGCAGTGGAGGGTTTGGTGACAGCACAGGTTGCCCTCAACAAATCATTCAACCCACAATTTGTGTCCTCCTCTACCAAGTCGGACTCGGAAGGTTCGCTGCTCGACGGCCCACTCTCGATCAAAGTCGGGAGACTGGTGTGCCTGGGGTATAGGGGCCTTCGCGCTCAACGATACTGCATATAGCACCCAAAAAGTGGGCAAATGGCAACGGGTGTTGTGCTACCTCTGGAATCGCGAGTGAAAGAGTGGCACGAGCCTGAATCAAACCTATTGCTCTGTCAAACCCTAGCGGACTCGTCAAGCCGGCTTCCGGGCTCAATGGCTCACCCGCCAGCGCGAGACTCTCTTTCACAACAACCAAGTCTACCCTCCTTCAGTTCACTCCTGGCCGGGGCTGGCAATCCCGCTTTGTTTGGCCAATCCCGACAGGAAGAGGTGAAAAGGGAACATGCATTGCCAGGCAGCACTCCTGCAAGCAAACATGCTGCTCAACCAAATATGTCCACGGCTTCCGATGTGCATCCGTCCACACCTGCTTTCGCCTTGGCTCAATCCTCACCTTCCCAGTCTCATCCCATGAATGGCGGCGCCTGGGCCTACCCAAACACAAGTCGATCGGAAGTTCATACAGCCACAACTGACCCTCGTGCAGCAAGTACCAGTCATGGACCCGGTCGGGCGACCACGGAAGAAGAATTCGTCGACCCGCCAGTCAGCTGTCATGCTCATGAGAAGGACTCCATGTGTTCCAAGAACTCGGATGGTGATGACCTCAGCTCCACGTGGAGCTCCTCGAGATCAACGAACCTTAAAAAGCGCAATGGCCAGGCTTGCGATGGATGCCGGGAGAGGAAGATGAGATGTGACTTTAAATTCCCCAAATGCACGATGTGCAAGAACATCGACCGTGAATGCACATTTGGCTCAGCGTAAGTAATTCCTTGACTCATTATCTTCGGTGCTGATTTCTGTGCAGGCCACGTGCCACGATGCGACATTCAGCGTTTCCGATGTCGATGCCTTCAATCTCGAGATATAGGATCACCAATCAGAGCCAAGACAATTATCCAACTCGCAGAGGGTCAACGACTTCTGTGGACATGGGCTCCCAGGAGCATGCCTACTCGGCATCCATATCAAGGTCGTCAATGCCCCTAGACGACATGCTCTATGCCACCTCCGGCAAACAGACCAGCCACGAGGATGTGTCAGACAATCAACCACCAGCAAAGAGGCCTCGTGTTTCTCCATCTCCTCGCCCTAGATCTCAGGGCCAGTTGTCCGCCAGTTCGGGTACAGAATCTGTTGTCGGTTCCATCTCTTCGCCGTCAGTCGTCTCCGACTTCTCTTGGGACTTGGACCCTTATCAGTTGAATCGCAGTCTGACCTGGGACTACGTGAATAAGTATTTCGAGCACGTTGACGGCGTAACGTATCATATCCTCCCCAAAGAACTTTTCCGACAATGGATCCGTTCCCACCCTACCAAATCACTGGCGGACAAGATGTTGCTATATGCTATTCTGGCAATGGGAACCGTCTTCGCATCGAGGCAACCACAATCGAAGCACCACCAAGACGTGTTCCTCGAGATTGTCAATAAAGCCATCATAAAGAATGGCGATATGTTCAGCCTGCAATTGATTCAGACCAAGTTAATTCTGGGTCTCTTCGCTTTTTCTCAAGGCCAGTACAATCGTGCAAGTGACCATTGTGGGTCTGCCCTACGGACCGCGTTGGGCTTGAGATACCATACAGAAGAGGGAGTCTCGACCATCGAGATTCAGGATCCACTGGACTTCGGTTTGTCTCAGGAAATGTTGGTTGATTGCCGGCGCAGGACGTTCTGGGCTGCCTATCTGCTGGACAGCTTCAGTCGTTGCTGGTCCGCGTCCGTTACTACTGTTAACCGGTTTGATTGCCACCTACGCTTACCTTGTGCTGAGGCGGCTTACGAGGCGGGACACGTTCCCTTGGCTCCATTTATACTTGAAGCGCCCAAGGATGACCAAGGGAGTCGGCCCGGTACTCCTCTCGAATCATCCGAGGTCGGCTCTTTTGGCTATCTGGTAGAGATTGCGGCTATCTTCAGTGAGGTGATGAGCACTGTCAACCGAGGAAAAACGCAGTCCCCGGGGAAAGATCGATCAACGATGGGCACCTTCCGTAACGACATTGGAGCCCGACTTAAGACGTGGGACCACCACATGAAGAGACAAGCTCGTCAAGATCAAGACGGACGAGAGAAAGTCAGCGGCTTCTACGTTATTTATCACTACACCCTCATGGTACTGAACCGGTACATTGACCATGCGGAGATGGATCGGTCACGGGTTAGCGTATGTGTAAAGCGTGTCCACGATCACGCTCGACACACGCTTGTGTTGGTACAGAGACTGCGCGAGCACGGCGATGACAAGCACGACTCCTCTCACCAGTTTGTGATGTTGAGCCCTTTCAGTGGCTTCGCCATAATAGCTGCTTTGGATGTCGTCACAGCCACCGGCCCAGTATCGACTCTGATGGGCCATGAGAGCCAAATCATGTCCTTGATTGGCAGCGTCATCCCGGTCCTGGAGGGACTCAAGGACCATTGGCATAGTGGTCGTCAACAGCAGGAGGTGGCCGATCGGAGGCTGAGGGCACTTTTGAGGGTATCCAGTAAGGCCTTCCAATTCAACGGAGCATATTACTTCGCGCACCCTATGCAAAGCCGGGTTGACATGGATCACGACGTTACCTACGGGCTTTGCCGCAACAGATATTTTGAAGCCATGGGATGGGAGGAGACTCTTCATCATGATGGAGAGTTCCAACGGCTGGACTAATGCGAGATTCTTGGAAGTAGAGCGCAAAGAATTGAGACGGCCGCTCACGGTATGATGAGGAATATGAGATTATGAAGCACTGGTATAGGGAAAAGGCCGATTAATACATGCAGAGAGGTTTCAGCAACACTCAACTGGCGATGATGGCATTCAGGCACTATGATATACCCTACGAGCTTGACGGTACACAGCACTAGTTATTGTCGGATTTTGGAGGCGAGAGTAAAACGTTCCAGGTGGTATTGTTTGTTATGGCTGAGCGAATTTTTTATATACTTGGGAGGGACCCTGTCTAGTTAGTATGTGGTTACCGCATAGTTTGGATTACGAAGGATAATATCTTTACTATAGCTATCCAGCCTATAGCGACCTCGACATCATCACAACCTTACAGAGCTAAAGACCAAATGTTCACCATTCTAGTCTCGAGAAGGCCATGCTCTGAGCTTCGATGACGTAGAGGTGGCACAGTCACACTCCGGAACCTTAGCAGCACGTGGCTTGCTAGCTCCGCACGGATCAACGCTCACAACGCTCTGCCGGCCATTTATCTTGGGTAACTTAGCCGAGAAGCCCCGCACTCTTGGCACCACTCGGCTGAGCTGCCATGTTCGGATCGCGTATACGATTGGACACAAGCAGGGCGCTTATTCGTATCCTTGAGCCTCACTCGAACTTTGCACCCCCAACTTGTTTGCTACAGAACTGGCCTAGTTCTGCACCTCGATGCCCTTCTTACGGCACATCCTTCACTGTGTCTTTCTGAGAAAGGGCAGTTCTGCCAATATCTCGTGATATCTCGTGGGAGACCGTCTCCCTCCCCGCACGAAGTCGATTTTTATCGCTCAAGAGCGTGCGATCGGCAAAGAGAATTGATCTTGCGGCGTCATGGAGTATTCTCTGCGTGAGGCTGACCACACGAGGTCTGTGGACCCAACGGGCCAACCGTATTGGCAAAATCGGTGACATCCCGGTCGGGATCCTGCATTGTTACTCACAACCGGTGGGTTTTGTTCAGGCTCCCATCCAGGCTCCGTAGACCAAAGTACCTGGTAAACGTTAGGCTCGAGTCCACATGTGCAAGCCCTCGAGGCCTCACAACACCACAACATGTGCCTAGTACAACCCAAGCCATTGACTATTTCAACGTTTCAATCGCCCGTAACTTCATTTCCTCCCTTTACCCAAATTGTCTCCTTGTCTCCCCCTCTCCTCACACCCCAAATGGCACTACCTACCCAGTCTGATTGCGGTGTTTCTTCTGGTTCTATTCGCCTACCATTAACTCTTCTCGACACATTGGTTCCTGGTTCTTCTCACCTCGCTTCACTCCTGCTCGGATCTGGTCTCGATGTCTCGTTGTTTGTCTCATGGGGCGCCATCCTGGCGACAGTGTGGGCAGCCCTCCATTTCGGCCTGATACCTGCGTATCAAATTGTTTTGAAAGCGCTCACCTCATCGGTGATTGTGGAAGAATATGATCCCATCTACGACCATGTCCTCAACTGGGCCAGCGCCCAAAAGTATTTGCAAAACATCCGTTCCCTCCGCGCTCATACGGCAGGGCAATACTACGACGGCTTGGAAGATTACGAAGAGGATGACCCCCTGCAGATGCAGTTCCGGGAAGGCATGCCCGAGGATACCATCTTTAATTTCAACAACTGGTCTGCCCGGGCCCCGCCAACATTTCGACCTCATTCTTCTTCGGGCTGGTTCTTCCACAGTTATCGGTTGTTCAAACTATATCGAAATCGCGATCGGGTTGCCAGCGAATACACCGGCGCCGTGTACGAAAGAGAACGGCTTGAGATCTCAGTGATCTGGTTGTCTCCTCAGCCGATCAAGACCATGATTCAGGAGGCCCGAGAATTTCATCTCATACGTCGAACGTCCACAACCACAATTAAGCGCCCAACCCCAAAATCTCAGAGATCTGGACGTGGACAAGCATGGACAACTATCGCCAACAGACCGAGCAGATCTATGGCCACGGTCGTGCTGGATAACGAGCAAAAGGTGGCTATTTTGAAAGATTTCAACGACTTCCTGCACCCGCGGACGGCGCGATGGTATAGCAATCGCGGGATCCCATATCGTCGAGGTTACCTCTTTCATGGCCCGCCAGGAACCGGCAAGACTTCATTGTCCTTTGCCCTTGCCGGTGTATTTGGACTTGACATATACTGCCTCGCGCTGTCTGAGGCTTCCTTGACCGAAGAAGACCTGATCCTGCTCTTTAACAGCCTCCCAAAACGATGTATCCTACTCCTTGAGGATATAGATACCGCTGGCCTAGGGAGGGCGCCAGGTTCGAACGATGTAGGAAAGCGACAGACGACAGACCAGTTGCCATCTGGCGGGAATAACCAGGACAAGAAGACCACTGCCGAGAATAAAGACGACAAAGACGACACCTCCGGATTTAGAGGTAAGGCAACAGATCAGGCGGGTTCGGTCAGCAAAGAACCGACATTCAAGAACACGCTCACATTCGCAGGCCTCCTGAATGCCATAGATGGTGTTGCAAGTCAGGAAGGCCGAGTCCTCATCATGACCACCAATCACGTGCAAAGATTGGATGAAGCACTGACGAGGCCCGGTCGGATTGATTTGACCATCAAGTTTGACCTGGCGACCAAGCAGCAGATCAAGGATCTCTTTTTGCGGATGTACTGTGCCGACTCAATCGAGATGCGAAGGCAGCCGACCAAGATCAGCCATATATTGCCGAACCAAGCGGAAACAGACCGGCCTGGTGCAAACACATCCACAAACTGGGGCATTGAGGGCAATCAGATCGCCGACCTCGAAAACCACAAGGACACCCCAAAGCCACGACTTCTATCGAGGGTAACTTCCAACAGCAGCGCAGTCTTCGACCTGGCGGAGCGATTCGCCGATTCTCTCCCTGACAGGACTCTTTCGCCCGCCGAGATACAAGGCTTTCTCCTAGTCCGGAAGAAGTATCCCGCACAAGCAGTCGCGGACGTGATCCAATGGAGGGACGAGCAGCTTCAAAATAGGGTGGAGTCAAAAGTGAACAAGGACGCAATGACGGCACAAGCGGTAGCGTGTGACGAGAGTCGCACAGAGTCGAGCGATGGCGTGAAGACGGCGGGATTATCCTCATGCAAGAAAAACGAAATACCCAAGCAGCAGCAGCAGCAGAAGATGATGGGCGTTCAAAACGGCTTCTCCGGCGAGATTACACGCGAGGAAGAGGACGGTAACGACGCCAAGGAACCAACGCCATCATCCACGGTCGAGCCACAAGCCGGAACCCTGCCGAGATCTGGTCCCGCTGAGAATGGCAATGGCAATGGCAATAACAAGGACAATGAGAACGCGTGCGAGAATGACGGCGAGGGGATCACGGAAGACGGAGATATCGACGATCGGGGAGACGACCAAAACGGAGACAGTGACACCCTATGCACGCGTCGTCGACGACTCTGGGTCCCACACCCACGCTCAGACACCCGACGACATGGATCTGCCGCCGTCAATGGGTACACGCACGGCGATTCTGACGGCGACATCGACCTCGACCTCGACCTGGACTGTGACGAGGATGACGTTGTGTTCTGACTTATACTCGATGAACTAGTTCGTCTCGCTCTCCAGGACCCAGCCTGGTTTGGAAGTGGGTGGATTCCATTTTCCTCCTCCCGTTGTGCTGTGCTGTGCTGTGCTGTGCTGTGCTGTACTGTACTGTACTGTACTGTACTGTGTTGCGTTGCCTGGTCTCATCTGGTCTGCTTTGATCCTGGCATTGAAATAACTATGTCCTCTATATACCTACCCGTTTTGCGTTTGAAGGGGAAGAGGAGAGGGGGGAGGGGGAGAAAAAAGAAAAACCCAACATGAAGGATAATCGTCTTTATGGGACGTACGTTGGCATCTGGGATACGATATATAAATATGAGTGCGTGCATTATATTTACTACGACAACAAAGGGAAATGACGAGCGAAAATACATATACGTTAAATAAACACAGTCCCTCTCTCTCTCTCTCTCTCTCTCTCTCTGTGCGTTTCGCACAACGCGTAAAGGACTCGAAAAAAAAACCATTTTATGAGTGTTTTAGAAAGTCTGTCTGTTCATCGTATTTCGTTGCTTGCTTGGTTTCTTGGTTCCTCTGGGGATTGATTGTGGGCTCTTCTGTTCTATGTGTCTAGACAACATACCTACCGAGTACCGATACATAGGTAGGCACACACACACCCGTCTACCAGGCAAGATGCCAATGAACAAAGAAACTCAAGTGGCCTGGCCTCCGTGTCTCCGTGATTTTACCAGAACCCGAACCGCCCGACAAGCCCCCATCCTGAACATCTTGCCTAGGTCGATGTACACCACTCAATGAAATGGATCCTGCTGGCCCAACCATCAAAGCAATCGTGGCAATAGAACGCCGGCCTTCAGCTTGAGACCACCCAAAAAAAGACAAACAGAACAAACAGACACATAACCCCGCATTAACACATGCCAAAGAAAAAACCAATCATTGCACTGGCCCAGAAGTACCTCACGACATTTGGAGCCATCCATTTATTGTCCCACGGATAGGACCTGGGGAGATCCGAAATCAATTCCCGCGAGGCTGTGGACAAGGCCCCAAGGAGGTAGGGCCAACAGCCACTGATCAAGTCCACACACGAAAGTGGGAGTGCCGCGGAGTTGGCGGCGTGATCCTGTCGTCAATGGGGAATGGCAGCGGCCTCCGAACCAAGCTGGCCAGTGACGATAAGCAGGAGTTATTACAACACTCGATGTCCGCTCAAGCCGGCGGCATTGCTTCACCTCACGGCACAGTGAGACCTCTTCGAGATCGTCACATGATGTGTCAAGCATATGAGCTAGATGACACTTTCACAAGCCACAGTGGATAACACGCAGCAGATGAATGAAGTTCCCGCTGTTCACAGCTCCTGCAGCGCGAAGACATTTTGATCCCCAACAGACGAGCATGGACTGCCTACGTCGACAATATTCTCGAGCGGAAGATCAGCTTTCTCGTTTTCGTCCTTTGCACTCTCGCTTTCCCAGATTTCAATCTCGACATCACCATCAGCATCAGCATGAGTGGAGTGGACACCGTTAAGAGGGTAGCCAGGGGCTTCAGCCTTCTCGACTAGCGTGCTATCGAGTGCATTCGGGGTGGCAGAGCTCAGTATCTCGGCCAGTGTTGGGGCGTTTAGGTCTTCGATGATCTTCGCAGTTGACGACAGTGACGTGCTGGCGGTTGTGGGTTGGAAGGTGAAATGGTGCGGCTGCTTCGTCTCTTCGCCTTCCACGTCAGTCTCTGCCTCTTCGTCGTCGTGCACGAGAACCACACTAGTGGCATCAAGGCCTTCGCCATAATACTCCGCAGGATCAAGATCTGCGAGCGGGCTTCTGGGTTCGTCGTTCATCTTGATCTCCTTTCCCCTGGCCTTTTCCGCGGCGGCGTTGGCAGCAGCAGCCATGGACCTGGTCACGGGTACGGTCACCTCGTTGGGATCAATGTTCTCCTTGCCTCTATCCACCGACGACGACTTCTTGTGCAGACTCTTGCTCTCATCATCGCTGATATCCAACCCTGTGGCGCTCTGTGTCATGGTCCATTCGTTCATACGGTAGTCTTGGACTTCCTCAGTTTCCTCATATATGTCGAAGAACCATGACTTGGGCTTGCTGGTTTCAATTGTGGCCTTTTGGAGCTTGCGGGATTGAACTCGTGATTTCTTTGTGCCATTCAGGGCGGCGGATAAGGAGAGAGTGGGGGATTGGGTCGAACTAGAGAAGGGTGGTGGATTGAAACGTTTCCGCGACTGAAGAAGATCAGAGCGCTTACGCGTTGGCGAGCGGCCTGCTGCAGGTGCAGAGGCAGGGGTCGATGACGGCTTAACAAAGGTATCAAGACGTGGAGTGGAGGCAAGAGCGGTACTAAGACGATGTTGGGTGGACGAGAGAGCAGTCACATTCAAAGAATAGCGATGTGTCTTTGCGAGTGATACATCATCACCAAAGGCTGATCTCTTGCGTTTGTGCAACGAGTCGAGAATGCTTGGGTCGACATTTTCGCCGTCTGAGCCTCCGTCAATGTCGGGAGAGACGGCTCGTCGCTTCAAGGACGTTGGGGCAGAGTTTGGTGTGAGAGCTGCCGGCAGAGATCAGTCTATCGGTCTCCATTGGGGAAACACTGGTGGCAACCAAGATTCAACGCAAGGCGAGTGTCTCTTACCATTTTGTCGATTCTTCACGCTCTGCAAGCTTCGCAGCTTGGATTCGTTCAAGATGCCGAACGGCTGACGAGCAGGCGTGGCCATTGGAGCTACAGCAGCCATTCTGACTGGCTGGTAGAGGTGGGATGATGGGGAGGAATCAGAGTGGCGGCAAGAGGGCTGATATGCGTGCGTGCTCTGCTCAGCCTTTCAGGCAATGTTGAGTTGTATGGAGGAAATGGCCAATGCCAATGCGTGGCTGTCCTCGATTGATGACTCTGAGAATGTTGGTCGTGTTAGCTTGGGTGGAGATGTGGTTTGCATAAGAAATCACTCAAGAACTGTGAGAGGAAAGGAACGTTGGGCAGCAGTAGGGCAGAGGAAGAGGGTATATGGAAGTTGAGGGAGCTTACCAGGCGCTGTGACCAACCTGGCGCAGTCAAGGGAGCCGTTTTGGACGCGGGGTCTGTGAACGCGAGATCCTGGGTCAGGAGGGAAGAGATGGTCAATTTGACCAGAACAGTAGGGCGTGTAGGGTTAGATTGAGGAGCTACTGCAGGCCAGTGAGCAGCTGAGGAGGATCACGACGCGTCCTCAGGCAGCGATTGGGTTGCTGAAGGCGACCGTGGGCGGATAGTGAAGTGCAGATTGTGCAGAGACAGGGAAGTTGGCAGTTGAAAGAGGGATGAGGGATGAGGGAGGATGTTGATAGGGGACGCGTCAAGTGGAGTCTGTGTGAGAAAAGAGACGCGACGGGCGGGCGACGGGGAGGTCAAGTGAGGAGAGCCAGCAATTTCCGAGGTGAATTTTACACGCGCATCAATATATTTTCGAGTCCTATTCACTGTCCAGATGATAGAGGGCTCCAAATTGGTACTTGATGTGCTCTATTGTCTTCATCTCTTGACTGCGCTGATGATAACCGCCTTTTGGGATGTTGGCTGATTCTCACTTCTCCCTCACCTCGTATGCGGACGAGTAGCCGAGAAACGCGCCTCCCATTGGCCTGACCATTTACCGACTTGGCGGCCCGGAAAGTGACCTCAATGGTTTCAACCTTGTCGGTGCAGCTGGCCTGGTCGCCTGCAAACCGGAAACCCACCTCCAATCGGTCCCAGAAAGGAGTTGTCCGATCAAGGCATTCACAGTGTCGCCCGTGACCCTCAACACGTTGATACACGTTGGCAACCCTTGACACGGCCAGCCTCACCACTCCCACGAGCCTGACGAAGACGTCGCTGATACCTGAGTGTCACGACGCATATGTCTCACCTCATCGTGAATCTGCAAAAGTTAGAACCGCCGCGCCCTCTCTGGCTGTCGGGTTCAATGAACTCGGCCTCAAACAATCTCTGAGACGAGGACATGGCTGCTACTCCTTTCACATCATGCAGCCGCTCGAGGACAAGGTAAAAAAGAGCTGCAAACGGGGCTAGTGAGGCTGAGATGCAAGCACGTCACCTCTAGCCATCCATGGTCGCTGAGGGTCGCAGCTTGAAGCACGGGTTCACCTCTACTGCTGCCGAGTTTCGTGCTCGTCCATTGCCCAATGTACATTTATGATTCTACCTCCTGTGGCATTCCCTGGTCTAAACATGCCTGGCACTCTGCCCAGCCACTGCCACCGCACTACAACTTCGCCCTCGGTTCGGACAGATCAACCAGGTTTTCGTCCTTGGCGAACTGATAGTAATAGTTCAGGCTGTCCGGGTTCAGCAGCGTTCCAGAAGGCTTAATGACTTTGCCTGAGACGATCTGTTTCACCGGCAATTCGACCTTCTTCAAGTTGACCGTTGTCTAGAGAACACATCATGTCAGCCACTCGTCACTGATCTTTCTATATGCAGGGGACTTACCGGGATTTCTTTGGTCTCAAAGACAAATTTGGGCACATGCCGAGGACTGGTAGCCTTTCGAATGGCCTCCTTGACTTCTCTGACAAGTTGGGGCGTGAATTGATGGCCAGGTTTCATCAACAGGAACAAAATCACCCTTTCATCTTGGTCTTGAGGTCTCCTTTGTCCGACGCAGATGCTGTCGCTGATCTTGTCTGCAAAGTGGGCCTCAATAATGCTGTATATCTCGGCAGAACCAAACCGGACGCCGCTGGGGTTCAACACGCCGTCAGCCCGGCCCAAGAACATGACTTGTTTCGTGACTGGGTGGATCATGATGAAATCGCCATGTGTCCAGACATTGTCAAATCGTGCAAAATAGCTGTCAAAGTAACGCTGCGGGCCATTCTCCCCCAAAAAGGTGATGGGCATGGTTGGGAATGCCTGAAATGCGACCAGTTCACCGGGCACTCCATCCTCGACTTCGACGCCCTTGCCACCTTCGACGGTCTGGTCGAACACCTTGACCGGGACACCGAGCGAGAGACACTGGCAACCTCCCACATACAGTGGCAGAATTGGATTGCCGGTCCCAAAGCATCCAGCCAGGTCGGTTCCACCGGAGATGTTGTCCAACTGCACTGAAGGCGGAAACCCTTCGTCATAGACCCATTCGAATAACTGATCCGACAGCACCATCCCCGTGCTGGTGATGACCTCGAGGTTGCTCAAATCGCCCACTTTCTTTGGCACCACGCCGTTCGTCTGCAGTGTTTGCAGATACCTGGGACTGATGCCCAGATGCGTCACCTTCTCCTGGGCCACCAACTTGAGCAGGTTGGTCAAGTTGGGCACAAAGGGACTCCCGTCGTACATGATCATTTGACATCCCGTGATCAAAGCCTGCACACTGGCCAGATACATGATCCATCCCGTCGTCGTGTATTGCAGTTGTTTCGAGTTCGCATTGATGCGCCTGTGCAACCTATACTCTTTGTGGCCCGAAATGATGACCCCTCCAATCGCATGCACAATGCATTTTGGCTGGCCCGTCGTCCCCGAGGAATACACCACCAGAAAAGGGTCTGCAAATTCCGTGTCCTCAAACTCCAACTTGTCAGACTTTGCGGCAGAAATGAAGTTGGCCCACGTCCTGGCTCTCGGCACACTCGATACATCGGCCGGCGAATGCTGGAAGCGAGCTTGTGAAACGATGCCTTGGAACTCATCCACGCCTTCCATCCCCGCCATGATGTCCTTCATCTTGCCACGCAGATCGATCTTTTTGCCGTTGTACACAGCCCAGTCGTCCATGAACAGAAATCGAGGCTTTATCTGGGTGAGTCGATCCAGGATACCCTTGACGCCCATATCCGTGGAGCTACTGCTGAAGAGGGCTCCAAGCGTCGTCGTCGCGAGAAAGACCGTCAGCGTGTCAAGACAAGTACTGGCGACCAGCGCGATCCGGTCTCCTTTCTTCACGCCGTGCGCTCTCATCGCCTGACTCAACCTGCCGACTCGCTGCCTCAGCTCCTTCCATGTGACGTGTCTGATAGGCTCTAAGAAGCACCCTTCGCGGACCTCGGTGCAAGCAATCTTGTTGTCGGCCTTTGCTGCGTCAATGACCGGCCGGCCATTCGCATCGCCGGAAAAGAGGATGTTCTGGGCAAAGTTCATGCGCACGCCGGTAAACCAGCGTGGAATGGAGTCCATTCGGGCGGATTCGTCAACGACGGGGTCTGGAACGGTGCCCGAGTATACGATGGGAAAGTAGTCGAAAACGTGGCGCCAGAAGGCAGCCCGTTGAGTGACTGAGTAGTTGTACAAGGCGTCGTAATTCTGCGAGGTGGAAAGTACCAGTCAGCTCGGTCTCATTGACGTCCTGATCAAACATTGCCGTCGACATGGGTATTTCCTCGTCTTCTTCACCCTGGGACGGGACTGGAGTCCACAGTCATCGAAGAGATAGTTTTCCTCACGACAGCCCACCTCTCCGTGCCGATCTCGACAGACCGATTCCAGATTGCGGGCATCGGAGCGATTGAGGAACGACAAAAGAAGGAGATGATAGATCGTCATTTGCAAACGCAGCACAATGTCGCGACATCTGATTCACATACCTCGAATTTCCGCCCGCTCGCCTTCTCCAGGCTCACTTTGAACTTCCACATATCGGTGCTCTGGGGATTCGGATGCTCCCACAATTTCCTCGGAATTGGATGCTCCGGATGCAGCTCCTGCTGCTGCTTGCGCGTCGACGTCATCTTCGCTGTCTGTGAAAAAAAGACTACTCGAGCCCTTGCTCCTGCTTCTCTCGTCCTTGTCGTTGGGAAATCCAAATCAGACTCAAAAGAATGCTCTTCTCCTCCGGAGAGTAGACACCGCGCACCAACCGACCCAGCAGCCAGCTAAGGTAATCAAGTTGGGAAGAAGGAGAACGGTTCCGAGCGACTGTCCCCCGTGTCTCTATCCTCGATCCGTTTTCGAGGAAGCACGTATCGATACGGATATATTTGTAGATACCCAACGTTTACCGGGTATGCACTGCAGTCCTCGTTTCGGTAGGCAGTGCGATAGCAGTCTGGCCAGAGACTTGTGGTCGTCGGGTCCGGCGGAGGTGGAGGTTTCAACCACCGAAAAATGACCAGATAGTGATAGTAATAGTGATCCTGAGAGGGAATCGAGGATATGACAAAATAATGTGGAGAGATATAGATAGATCGATAAATTTATCCCAGACTCTTACACCCAATATATGTATGTAGTATGTATATCTATACCTCGGTAGAAAGGTAAGGAGGTAGGTAGGTAGGTAGGTATGTTACGAGAAGGATATATATGGATTTGATGGGGACCGGGAATGGGATGGAGGAGAACCCAAACTAAAATATGGGTACGGCAAAGCGGAATTATCCTGCCACCTGCTCGCGATTTGCACGAGTACGAGGCACATCGGCGGTATTACCTACGACTACCTACCAACCTACCTGCGAGTTAGGACTTACTGTAACTTCGTTGGTTGTAGGTACTAGACGATGGTGTCAACTCCGGCGCTCAGCCCGCACGCCGGGAAAACGAGATGAATCCCCGGGCCTAGAACCACACCTTTACTTTATCCACACACATACATGACTCCCCAGGTGTGCACGCATGTTCTGTATCGGTACAAGTCCATGCGCCCACCTACAGTACTCGTATGTCTATCGTCTACCTCTCGACCTCATGGACATCGTATTTATCAGGTATCGTGTTTTATCGTGGGTATGTATGTAGGTATCTACCCAACTACCCCAAGCAATTCCGGTGGATTGGGACACGAACAAAAGCCTCGGCAACAAAATCCCACGGAAAGGGGAAAAAAGCACACATTTGGCACACAAAATGTGGGCGGATAAATGTGGGGTGGGGGAGAGAGAGCGAGAGGGGGGGGCGGCGGGCATGCATGCATACATGCATGGCAAGTGGAACTTCTAATCAAGTGTCCCGCCGGCCCAGACAGATCAGACAAACATACGACTAGTCGGGAAGAAAATGTACCTCTCTGACGAATGCTTGCGCGGTTCCGAGGCCCGGGAGGTGAAAAAGGCAGGGCATATTGATTCGCGTGGGACAAGCAAAGCAAGGACTGAAGGCTCTGTCAATGCACTTCTCGCCGATTAATCGGCGGAGCTATAGCGTCTACGGACATGGTCCGAAGAAAGCTTCGGTGGGAGACGTCCAAAGCCTCAGGACCACCGAGCGTTCGCTTCCGGCGTCCTTGAACTCGGATTCTTACGAGCTTCGGTGTCTTGGTAGTGTATGCTCCGAATCCCAACTCGCCTCGGATCCGGGCGGTGAAGTTATGGTGGCGTATCAATGATACAGTAAACTAGGCTTGCTCTGGATATAAGAATGGAGCTTTGTTGGTCTTCCTGCTATCCACATATCGGCAGGCTTGTCACCTGCTCAATGCCTGAGTAAGAATATCCCCGACATACTGATACTCGATCAGAACAGCCCCGTGCGCCTATCGCATAGCTATTGCCTTCTCCCCCGGTTGTTTCTGTCCGCTCCCACCTCATGGCTTGACGAAGAATCTTCCCTCGTTCTGCATCTTGATCCTGTGGTCTCCACCCAAGACGCCATGCTGTGTTTGCTATTGGATAGCACATCTTCGATCAGCCGGGAAGGTTTATCGTAGTTAATGCTGGTGCTCAATTGGCACCTGGGCTTGCAGTGAAGAGGGATTGGAAGGGCTGGCATTGGATCTGCTGAACGCAGGCCGGATATCGGCCTCGCATGATTTGATGGCTGTCGTTGATTGTGATCGTCACTAAGAGTAGACCGTTTGGCCCATTTCCTCAGGGTGGCTAACGTGACTGGAAGCGCGACTGACGAGCTCTTCCGGGCTCTGGTCCTTCTGGACCTTTTCCTCTCGGTATGAAGCTTTCCTTCTCGTCCAGCCAAAGCATTGGGCGGCGCCACATTTGCCTTCCTCCTCTCGACAATAGGGTCCTCAACCAATGTGAGACTGGACCGGGACGATGCCGAGGCAGATACAATATGAGTTTGTTGCGTGTCGTCGATCTCAGCTGCTAGCTTTTCGATGAGCTTTTGATCGCCACGCTTGCTGCAGTACCTGGCCGAAATCAATCCCGCCAGACCTGTGAGGAGTGCGAATCCGACGATGCTGCCAAAGACAATAAAAAAAGGCCAGTAGTTGTTTTCTCCGGCTCCCCTGGATACAAGCACGATGTCCGTTTCATCCAAAAACGATTGTGCCTGGTGGAGAGGTATAACTGGCATAGCGATCGGTGATTGCCAGCCGTGCCGATGGGTGAGGAGGCTGAGATGAGGTAGCCCGCTGGAGGTATCTCAGGTATCGGGCCAAGAAGAGGAAGCAAGCGATGCAAACGATGGTCGTGCTCTAAGCTGGAGAGCAATGCGTAGATGAGCTCTCCAGATGCAGCAACAAATCACATAAGAGATATGACAAGCGATGCGATGTAACAGTAACGGTACGAAGTGACGGAACAATAGCCCGATGAGAAAGGAGGCAAAGAAGAGCATGCTCAGACAGGCATGGATTTTGAATGCCAGGCACAGGAATTGATTGCACTTGCCAGGATTGTAGGAGTCCATAGCTCTTGATCTTCCTCGACCTTTCCTCCCTGCTCTTGTCCAATTTTGTGCCGAAACTGGAAGTCGGGCCCTTTTTGGGGATATGTACACTGTGGCTGAAACCGACGATAGCCACTTCTGTTATGTTTTTGTTGGAAAAGTTTTCATGTCTTTCAATATGTAGTCTTGATAGAAGCGAAGAGGAAGATATGTTGCTTTTTATTCCAACGAAGCAGCGTCCCTCACGTCACCGTCCAGGGAGCTGTTTCTTCTTCTTCTCTGGGTTGGGTCGTCTCTTATTTCGATACCGGGCCCGATGGGATGAGAGGATCGATGGCGCGGCCATACCTGCGACGAACAAAGGTTAGGTTTGTGGCATTCAACTCGGGGGGATTCACTAAACAGCTCACATTTGTTGAACTCCAACCCAACCGGAAAGCAAACTCATGAGCCAGAAGCTCACCAAAACCCAGCATCATCCCGTTCACAAAGGGCAGGACGAGGTTTATCGCGGCTCCCCGTAGTATCGACCATATCGTCGGCGGCTGATATATCACAACTGGCCGAGTGCCGTTATTATCTGACGATTGAGGCGGTGAAGAGGATGGCGGTGAGAGTGATGAGTATGCCTCAGAGTCAGAGGGAATGGTCAATTGAGAAGCTGAGAGGTCTTGAGGAGGTGAAGGCGACTGATCCTGGCGCGAAGCCATGGCGGAAAAATGGGATGGTTCGTGGTAGATGCGGAATGGATGGTGAAGAGGTCTGGAAGAGAAGTCAAGAAAGCCACAGTTGGATGTTCATTCTTCCTCAAAGGAGCGACATTGAATTGGAATTGAAAGGGATCGGAGGTACGTGTAAATTTCCCTCTCTGGAACCCAACAAGAGTAGATTTCAAGCAGGTTCAAAGCAATGCGTGGAAGCTTTCGGTACAATTGTTGTCGCTTCAAAGATGTTCCAGGCACGAGATTCACAGCCCAACAAATCAGGACACTGACAAGGCTGCTTAAGTAATAAATGAGCTGCGCCCATGGTGCCCAGAACCGCCCAATTAGGGACCCGGCGAGTAGGTCGCAAGCTTCTCGGCGAAGATTTGCCTGAGCCTGGGGGCTGAGAGGGGCTTGGGGTGCAACTATCACTATCCTTAGTACTTGTAGGCGACCTCGCGTGTGACGTACTACCTTCTCCTGGTGCCTTGTAAAGCCGACTTTACACCTCTTCTATTCACTTCTAATTCTCTCCAGTGTCACTCTTCGACTGCTTTGCTGAAGACGACACCAAGCTATCAATTAGTTCTCACCACAGTTTCCATTTGACTGGTTTACTTCTATCTCTCCCTTTGTCCCGACATATTCTATTGCACGCTTTCAAAGTCCTCCACAGCCATGGCGAATCCAGATCCTGGAGAACAAACTTCCTTAATTGCACAGTTCATCGCGATTGTGGGAACAGCAACCTCCCGACGAGTAAGATGGCCGATTTGCATTGCGCGTGACTTTCATTGCTAACGACTCTCATAGGCTCACCAGTTCCTTGCCGCCAACGACTGGGATCTCGAGGCTGCCATTTCGAATTACTATGCCACTTACGACGACCAGTCTTTCGACATTCCCGATGATTCAGACTACGCCGATGAAGAGGATCCAGATTCATCACATCAAACCCGATCTCAACCTCCACATCCTACATACGGCGCAGGTCGGAGACTAGGGGAGGGTCCTTCAGAGTCCGAACCCACGCCTGCTGCCGCCTCCTCCACCTCGAGCTCTTCCCAGCCCAAAAACAACCCCTCCTCACAAAAGAAGTTTGCCACTCTGGGCGACTTCTCTTCAAGCGGTGCGAACGGTGACGACTCGGACGACGACGAGAAACAAGACCTGTTTGCTGGAGGCGAAAAGTCAGGCTTGGCAGTCCAGAATCCGGACGACCTGAGGAAGAGAATCTTGGAAAAGGCTCAGAAGCGAGGTCCTCCGCCAAAAGAAGCTGCTCCCAAGAAGTCATTCTTTACGGGTTCGGCGCGCACCTTGGGGGGCGATGATGCACCCTCGCGTGAGATTCCCGCTGCACATCAACCTCGTGGCAGAGCAGAGAGAGTCGAACGAGTACTGCATTTTTGGCAGGATGGATTCAGTATAGACGACGGGGACTTGTACCGATTTGATGATCCCAGAAATGCAGAGATTCTAAACTCGATTCGACAAGGGCGGGCACCGCTGAACATCATGAATGTCCAGCCTGGTCAGGAAGTGGATGTGGAGATCAAGCAACATGAAGAAAAATACGTCAAGCCCAAGAAGAAGTACAGACCATTTGAAGGGTCAGGCCAACGTCTCGGAAGCCCAACCCCTGGAGTACCTTCGATGCCTGGAAGCTTCACTTCAGAAACTACAGCGCCAGCATCTGCAGCACCCTCTGCAGCACCTCCAACAACCGAAGTGGATGAGTCGAAGCCAATCGTCACGCTGAGAATTAGTCTTGGCTCCGGAACTAGACTGACCACGCGCTTCAACACAACGCAGACGATTGGAGACGTGTATGATTTCGTTCAACGAGCCGAGCCAGGTGGTCGGGAATTTGTTCTGCAGACCACCTTCCCCACGACAGATCTCAAAGACAAGTCCCAGGTTCTTGGGGATATGGCAGAGTTCAAGAGAGGAGGGGCCGTGGTTCAGCGATACCTCTGAAGTGTGACCGTGGCATCATGTTGGCGTTGTGACCTGGAAATTAGCTTCAGAAATGGACTGAGCGGGAATTTCAAAAAACTAAGAGCCATAGGGGGCTCACTCCAGTACGAGAGCACGAACATGAGTATGGCGGTCAGTATGGCCAAAACCTCCTTGTGCTTGAGAGAATAGAATTAGATCCATGGCTTCAAAGCGACTTCTACATGACTCGGCGATATTCAAGGTCGATCTCCCGTGTACCGAGTTACTTGGTAGGTAGACAAGTAGACACTCTTGGCCTTGTGCCTCGCTAGCTGCTTTAGTGCGGAGGAAATTCGCTGCACTTGCCCTCGCATGATCGGCTGGAACTTTTTATGCTCCATTCCGCATCTTGAAGCTGTGACATGATACTCCCACGCGCGACATTTTCCGTCAGCGCACCGTGTCCAGCATGTCAATTTCCATGGGGTTGAGGTGGTCAGGTCGAGGAATCCGTGGAGTCCAGAGGAGGGCGGTTGCTGGTGCCGGAAGCGGGCGATATGTATGTTGCTGCTGCCGCGACTCCTCGCTCGACATATACACTAACTGTGGCAGTTCTCCCATTATACCTTGAACTCTAGGTCAATACAAAGACCAGGAACATACTCAAGCCAATTGAATTCGGCGCAGCAAGTTCGATCCCTTTCCCTCTTTGGCTGGGGTTCCAGCAAGACCTCCAGCGAAGCTGCACCAGCAGTCGAGGCTGCTGCGCAGGCATCGTCGCCCTCCTCACCCCCGACAATTGAATCGACACGGACAGTCAAGGCCTCGCACTCCACCTCAGATTCCGCCGACCCAACAATTACCTCCACCGGCGAATCGAATGCTCTTCAAAGTATCGAAAAATCGGTCCTGCAATCGCAAGAAAGTACATCCGCAACAGCGGCAGCAGCAGCCAGTGACACACCAGATCTAGCCAGTGTTCCGGAAGGCATTGGATACTTGAAAGATGTCTGTGGTCTTGATTTCGGCACGGGTCCGACTGCTCTCATGCAGTTTTGTCTCGAACATATACATGTGACGGGTGGACTGTCCTGGACAGTATCGATACTGGCCCTTGTGCTCCTCATCCGTGGGTCCATTCTTCCGTTTGCGATCTCGGCGTCCGACATGACTGCCAAATTCCAAGAAATAAGTCCTCTCATAAGACAAATACAAGCAAGGAGTCAAGAGGCTTTGGCAAATCATGATCGCACAGCGGTCCTCGAGGCACAGATGCAAATGCGAGAGCTCAGGAAAGACGCCAAACTCTCTTTCATAAAGATGTTCCGGCCCATCCTATTTCAAATCCCGCTTGGTTACGGAGCATGGAATCTTCTCAGAAACTGCTCACATCTACCTGTGCCCGCCTTCGAAGCTGAACACTTTCTGTGGTTAAGTAACATAGCCGTTACTGACCCGACCTATATCTTGCCTATAGCCACCGCAGCACTTACATGGGTCAACCTAGCAACCACTCAAAGATCGCAGGGTGGACAGTCTCAGCTCCCCGGTATGGGTGTGGTCCGAAATGTTATTCCACTCATCACGGGTGGCTTCCTTGCATTTCAGCCAGCCTCCGTTCAGATTTATTTCTTAGTGAACAGCTTTTTCACCCAGCTACAAGTCAGCGCCCTGCAGAATGAATCTTTCAGACGTCTGCTAAAATTAACCCCGCTGCCGCACCACAATTCCAAGTCAAGTAGCACCACTCCATATTCACGGATGAACGTCCAGCCAACGGTAATCGAGACCACTGCTCGAACCACCACTGCGACTCCTGGAACGACTCCTGAGCCAACTCCAGCGGCGGATCGCAGTATCATCGACAAAGGGGTCGATTCAGTGAAATCCATGGGGAAGAAAGCGTGGGAGAATGTGTCTGGTTCTTCCAAAGAGCAAATGGAGAAGAAAATGAAAGAAAAACAGCTTGAAAAACAAAAAGAAGCGGCAGCACGGTACGAGGCACAACGAAGGCAAGATCTCGAGATCCAGCGGTCGTACCGAAACGCCGTTGCGAGTGGACAAGTGCCTAATCCTGGTTCACCATCGACACCAAAGAAATGACACTAATGTGGACATTACGGGACACGCTTCGCGTGAAATCAGGCAAAATCTGCCACACTTGCGCTCCACCAAAGGCGAGTACGTTCTGGCATGCCTTTTGTAGTTACACTGCGACACACGGTCTGATTCTGCTCTACACTGGACGATCGATGTGCTCGAGCAAGCTAGAAAACCGAAAGATCACAGAAGTCTTGAAACGGTAAAGCGACATCTCAGCTGAATGTACAAAACCCAAGGGCAGGCGCACACGTTTTTCCCAATCACAAACTTCTGGCATGTGTATTAGAACATTCGGTGATGGGCATCTCAGGCATTGCAGGCTGCATGGTGTCTAGACGCGATGGATCTTTCCTCTTCGGGTTGATGCCCAGGTGTATATATAACGCAACCTACGACTGTCAAGGGCAAAGGAATGTTGGAAAAGAGATCCATGTCTCAAGATCATTTCGACCAGCCTGGAAGATGGTATTCTTGTACAACTTTCGTCCTGCACAGGGAGGATCCCTAGAGATATACTCGATATTTGCATCCCAAAAAAGTCTCCTCTCGTCTCGTCTCGTCTCTCTCGAAATCTCGCCCCTTCTCAAGCCTCAATCTCGTCTGTACTCGTCGTATGTTCATCCTCGTCCTCGCTCAAGCCTCGTATCAGCCGATAAAACTTTGTCCGTCCGTATCATGCACCAACTATAACTATAACTATAACTATAAATTCACACAAGATGGTTCGTTCCCAGGCTTTCCCAGGCTCTCGTCATGCATGATAGACACCCTTTTTCCTTCTTATTTTTTCTTTGGAAGGTCTTCCTGTTTCCCCGTTGTTGCCACTACTGGTGGGCAGCGTTGAAAGGTTTCCCTTCTATTCTTCTTCCCTCCTCACCTCAATCTTGAAGGCCAACTTCACTTAATGGCCGTTGGCGACGCCATTCTTGTCCCCCTCCTCGCGGTAAAACGGTTTGGGGACGTTGTCGTAGTACGGCACGACGATCCAGTTCTTGTCGTCGGTCTTGCCGACCATGCCCTTTGTGACTTCGGTGATGGGGTCGCGCGAGACGATGCAGTTGAGGAGGCCGGCACGGGATTGCTTCTCGCCACTAGCACCGGTGGTGACAGGGGCTGCGAGGGTCTTGATGGCGTCGCGGATCTCGTCGAGCGAGGCCTGCGCAATGGCGCCGCGACAGTTGAAGCCCTGGGCGACGAGGTCGTAGCGGCAGCTCGGGGAGAGGCTGGAGACGGCGCGCGTGGGGTCCGCGTCCGAGTACAGCAGGTCCTGGCCCGCGACGGACATGCCCCAGAAGAAGTTGTTGAAGACGACGGTGAGGACGTTGAGGTCGTGGCGCGCGTACGTGTCGAGCTCCTGGATGTGGAACCCCGCGCTGCCGTCGCCGTGCACGTTGACCACCAGCCGGTCCGGGCACGCCAGCGCCGCCCCCAGAGAGTACCCCCACCCGTTGCCCAGGAAGCCCAGGTACCCCGTCGCCACGATGCCCGTGGCCGGCCGCGCCCGCTCCAGGTGGTCCATGGCCCACACGCCCGCCTCGCCCCCGTCCATGATGACGATCGCGTCCGGCGGCAGCGACTCCATGATGGTCTGCATGGCAAAGTACGGGTGCAGCCGGCCGTCTGGCCGCACGACTGCGTCGCCGGCGTACCGCGTCATGGTCTTGACGGCGTGGATCGCCTCGATCCAGGACTCGTGATTCTGCTCCAGCGGGTCTTGTTGGAGCTTGGCCAGCACCGCGCTGATGAACTTGGGCGCGTCGGCCACGATCCCCAGGTCCACGGCGTGCGACTTGCCAATCTCCCCGCCGTCCAGGTCGACCTGCACCAACTTACAGTCCGAGTTGGGGACGATGGCGCCCGACCGCCCGCCCAGCAGGAACCCCGTGCGCGCGCCCAGCAGCAGCACAAAGTCTGCCTGCTGCTGCTTGGCGAAGCGCACACCGGCTAGCACGCTGGCACTGCCGCCGCGGAGCCGGTGGTCGAAGGGGATGGACGGGGTGTACTTTTGCGAGTAGAAGACCGGTGTGTTGGTGGCTTCGGCCAGCTGGAGCAGCGGGCTGGTCTTGGGGGAGTCGCGGTTCGTGGTGCGCGCAGCGCCCGTGCCCACAACAATGGCTGGCCGGCTCGAGGCCTTCCAGAGAGCGAGGAGTTCGTCGACTGCAGCCGGGTCCGGGGCCGGCGACACCGCCGTCGGGCGCATGACGGAGCCGTAAGACAGTGCGTTCATCCTCGGCGGGTGGAAGAGGATGTCGATGGGGAAGTCGATAACCACAGGACCCGGGATCCCCGACGTGGCCGTCTTGTACGCGTAACTGACGATGCGCGGGATCTCTTCTACCGTTGTGACCCGGTGCGCGAACTTGGTCAGCGGCTTGGCCAGGACCACCTGGTCGTGAAATCCCTGGAGAGAGTTCGTCTCGGCCTCGCGCAGGGGTGGTGACGATGTGACCATGAAGATTGGCGAGCGGTCCGCAAACGCTGTGGCGAGACCGGGGAGTGCATTGGAGAAACTGCAGAGAAGGAGTGAAAATGGTCAGTATATGTGATTTCTTCTTTCTCCCTTGGGGAGATCTATCTTCCCAGACGTCTTCGTCCCATAAAGATGGTCAGATGGTCAGGATTACGGGAGACAACATACCCGCTGTTGGCTGTCACAAAGCAACATCCCACTTTGCCCGAGAGTTTGGCATATCCCTCTGCGGCCTGGACGGCCGTGGTCTCGTGTCGACTGTCAATGAGTCTGATGCCGGCCAATTGACAGCCGATCAAGAAGGCGTCGAGATGGCCTCCGTGCAGACCGAACGAGACCTCGACGCCCAGCTGAGCGAGGCTCTGAGCGACCAGGTCACCACCGAGGAACTCTCTCTTCTCGGGAATCTTCCATTTCAGTTCCTGGTCGGCCATGGCTTTGGCGAGAGGTTGTGTATATTTATTTGTAGGAGGGGTTTGGAAGTGAACTGATATAGAAAAGGAGGACGCAGTTCAAAGCTGGAGATTGATTAATAGATATACATATACAGACGAGCACGGCTCCCCTGATATTGATATACTTGATACCTCTTGAAAAGCGGGAACTTCCTTCGAGACCTACCCACCTCCTCCCGTTTTCTTATATATGAAAGGAATGGATCCTTCGAGCCTCGGTGCTTCGCTTTGTTACTCACGGCGCCCTCTCTTGGATCTCATTCGATGCGCAGAAAAGGCGTTCAGCGCAATCGAGTCAAGTCCGTTGACCAGACGAGTCCCAGGCTCCCTGTCCTCGATCCCCCTCGCTCCGCATATTCTTCTGCGGGGTGGTGTGGATGCGACGTGATGACCCTGACTCGTCCAAAACTGACTGTATGGCCATGTGTTTTTGTTCATGATATGCCCTGGCAGGCTATCCGAAGTCTGGTCCTCGGGACAATGTGGGAAATGCGGGGCAAAATCTGCTGATTTGCTCCAGGTATACAGAAGGACAGTCACCAAAGTCCCACTAATGAAATGATCCGCAGTGGTCAGAGAGGGGGGAATAAACGGTGGTACTTGGAAGGTTAGCGGTTCTCATACGTCGGCCGAGGGGTGCCAGGGAGGGGGTTCGACATTTTGACAGGGTGACAAGATTGACAGACTGACAGAAGACAGACAAGAGAAAGTGAGTGAGTAAGTGAGTAATTGTGAGAGAGAAAAACTGCGGCCCAAGAAAACAAACGCGATAAACTCTCGAATACCAAAGCCCCTTTGGGCCTCCACTCCATGGCGCCACCACCACGTATCATCCTCTTCACCTACGACATCTCAGTCTTTGGGAGGAAAGTGGATTGGTACATGACATTATGCCGCCTGGATTACTTCCAGTGCATCGTGCTCAACCGGCTCCCACGTCCCGTGCTGGAAAAACTGGGGATCGAGTACCGCCGCATCCCCATCCTCGCCATCAACCGCGACATCTACTGCGACACGCGCGTCATCCTCGACAAGCTCGAGGCGTTGTTCCCGACGTCGCGCATCGGGGGCAAGACGCCCTTTGAGAGGGGCCTGGACCACCTGTTTGAGACGTGGGCCATCGATGCAGGCCCCTTTGGTCGCACGGCAGGGTTGATCCCGCCGACGTCGGACGTGATGCTGGACGAGGAGTGGCTCAAGGACCGCGCCGCCATGTCCGGGCGCAAGTTTGACAGGGAGACGATGAGGCAGGGTCGCCCCGAGGCCCTGGCCCACGCGCGCATGTACTTCACCCTGATGGAGACGGAGCTGCTGGCCGACGGGCGCGCGTTCCTCCTCGACACGCCCGAGCCCACCCTCGCCGACATCCACGCCATCTGGACCTTTGACTGGACCCTGCAGGAGAAGATGCGCATGTACGAGTGCCTGGAGAAGGACGTCATCAACCCGACCCTGTTCCCCAAGACTTTCGCGTACGTCGACCGCTTCCGCAAGGTCATCGCCGACAAGGCCCGCCTCAGCGTGCCCGCAGCCGTGTCCAGCGACGAGGCCGTCGACCTCATCCTGACCTCGGACTTCTTCGAGCCCGAAGGCACCGTCGACCCGCTCGACCCGCTGAAATTGGAAAAGGGGCAGTTGGTCGAGGTCTTCCCCGTCGACTCGGGCTTCACGCACCACGACAAGGGCGAGTTGGTCTCGATCGGCGTCAAAGAGGTCGTGATTGCGAGTGTCCCCAAGGTAGGCGAGGGCCGGCTGAGACTGCATTTTCCTAGAGTCAACTTTCGAATCCTGCCCCTGGCGGAATCGAAGATATAGTCAGTCAGTCAGTCATTAAGGGGGTGAGAGAACCATGGTACACATGGACTTCTGAGCTTTTGCTCGCTAAATCATGGATACCAAGGGTGTGGCTCCTATCGGTCAAACATGACATATATGATACAATAACCATTTCCCAATTACATCTAGATATACACGGCACGACACAGTCTCGAGCTCTTGTGATACATCCAATTCCACTGTACGGTACCAATATGCCATTGACACGTATATCGTGCCCAAAGATTTCGACCATTTCCCCATCTGTTGGTACAATCGGGCTTCTACCTCGCATTCATACATACATAGCCATAACATACAACCTGTTCATCGCGTTGAAAGCATCGCTTCACCACGCGGTGTAACCCCCATCAATAACGAGCTAGAAGGGAAGCAGTCAGTAAGTCAGTCAGCAAAGAAATGGAATCTCGTTGCCGCTGAGCGTCTTTGTTCAACTCACACTCGAACCGGTCATAAAGGAACTGGCATCGCTCAGACAGAACAAGGCGGCTCCTCGATATTCCGCGGGAGTGGATATCCGTCCCAACTGAAATCAAACATGTTAGTAAAGTTGAGCCGAGAGGGAGGGGAGGAGCGGAACAGAGAACGGCCGTCCTTCCTTACCATGTTCTCCTTCTCCCACAGCTGCTTCAACTTGGGGTCATCTTCAAAGTTCTTCTCGACCATCGGGGTCATGATATTTCCTGCGGGACGTCCGAGGGGATTAGAATTGTGAAAAGAACGGGCTAAAATGAAATTACTAGACCACGTACCAGGACACAAGGCATTGACCCGGATGGGCTTGCCGTTCACAATCCTCCCCCATTCCATGGCCAGAGACCGCGCCAGCTGGCAGACCGAGCCTTTGGAGGAGTTGTAGACCGCCGAGGTGAAGCCCTTGTTGGCGACCATGCCGCTCATGGACGCGACGAGCAGGATGGAGCCGCTGCAGTCGTGCCGGATCATCTGCCGCGCGCAGCTGACGGCCGAGCAGAAGACGCCCTTGTAGTTGATGTTCATCATCTCCTCGATCATCTCGGGCGTGCAGTCGAGCGCGGGCGTCACGTTCTGCACGCCCGCGGCGGCGATCAGGCCGTCGAGGCGATTGTGGTGCGTCGCGATCTCCTCGATGACCCGGTCGAGATTGCCCGCCTCGCGCACGTCCACTTTGTCGTACTTCAGCGAGCCCCCGTACTTGGGGCCCAGGCGTTCTTGGACCGTGAAAAACTCCTTGTCCGGCTCGGGCAGTCGGTCCAGGCAATATACTAATCCACCACGCCAGCCAATGTCAACACAACAGCGAATCCCTACAACAGGATCGGGGAGGGCGACGTATATACTGACCTTGTCCTCCTGCTTCGATCAGAGCTTCCGACAAGACCAACCCCAGTCCCCGCGCCCCGCCCGTGACCACAAACACTTTGCCTTCGAGGTCAAACTCTCGAAAGCGAAAAGGCGTCCGGTCGGGATCCGGTAGTTTCTCTTTGATCGATGGAGTCTTGTCGGAGCCCGTCTTTTTCGCGGCCTGTTTGGATGGTGTAGAACCAGAACTGGTACTTGCGTACACAAAACGGCTTTGCGAAAACATGCACTTCTGTTGACGAGTTGGTGGCGCCAGGTCCCGTCGAGACTTGCTATAGTACCTTGATATCGAGCCTGCGCCGGATGTGAAGCTGCGGAATGCCACCGAATGGGCTCTAGAAGATATCAACGACATGGTGGGAAAGCAATGGCACACAAAAATCGGTTCACGTCGAGACGAAGATTCGGACAAGGAGGCTGAAATGTCGAGTTGTTTGTGGTGTGTGTTACTCTTAACCGCCTTGACGACGATCGCCGAATTGGCACGCCGAATAAGTCAATAAGATCTATCATCTTACAGGTTTTTGTAGACCAAAGTGACGTTAGACGGCGACGCGAGGCGGGGTTCATACGCAACATTACCCACAGAGCTTGTGGCAATGGGAGAAAAGCTTTTCCGCTGTATGGGTCGCAAATAGTTGCTTGATCTGAATACATCATACGGTCGAACAAGATCCGTGGGCATTGAGAAAAGAAAAAGTGCACTTCTTCTGACGTGGATTTTATACCCTTGATATCATTCCCCAGTTTTAACACTGGATCGCCTAGATCTATCGCGCGGGTGCATGTGCCGGGGTTCCCTCGGAAGCGCCTATCGGGTGGTTTTGTCCATCGCCTTAAGGCAGTTGAGTGGTCGGAAGGGTACTTTTGGGTCAAGGATGAGTTCATAGCTACTGGAGGAGGCATTGACGTAGACGTGCTGATAAGCTGCCGGGTAGTTTTTCGGTGTGCCTTGCATATGGCCCGGGATCCTTACTCAGACGCGTGGTCCTGGATAAGGACCTTGGTCACTCGGATACAATACCCTGCGCCAAGGGCTGTGAGGATATGCCACCATCCGTGCAGTTCCAGGACAAAGGCGAGAGGGATCCCCAGCTGTTTTCGGGTTTCTCGCAGGGCGCCGCAATACGCTCCGTCAATGGCCCACACGACGAATCCCATCAGAAAGCACAGACCTCCCACGCGGAATTGCTTGGTCCAGTACTGCTTCTTCTCACCCTTGAATCTGGTCCGGATCAAATACAGGACTCTTGGCCAGATGGCGGTGACCAGGGCGATAAAGGTCACGTTGTGCAACCATAGCTGATGGAGCGCGTAATGGTAGGCACTGATGACCCCGAGAACAGCCGTCAAGATGAAAGCGAATGACAACTTTGCCGGTTTCGACCAACCCAGGGTGTACAGCTCGTATACGAGGGCTGCACATACCCAGAACATGGACAGGTCATCGCAGACCTGAGTCTCATATTTCAAAGTCAGATGGAAGACTAGAGAGAAGACGCCGACGAAAAAGAGAGCCAGGTTCGAGGGCCGAGTGAGCAAGCTCTCTCCGGGCAACAGCGTCCGAAACGCCCAGTATACTGTGAAGACGACTAGTTAGCTGAAGCCACAGCACAGGGGCCTCTGAAAAACAGGGTGCGCACCGTATGCAAGGTTCGTGAAGCTGTTGACGAATTCTCCGACGTATAGAGTGACAGCGTAGTCTTCTTCACAAAAGCTGATGAGAGAAGTCGGTCAGTCAACCATGAAGCCAGACACGATCGTCAATTCTCTTCACTCAAGACTCACTTGGCCACAGAAGTTGGAGGGCCCCAATAACCCAAGTGCGCCTTGTGATCGCCTGCGAAGTTGCGTTCTATGCCCATGATGCGGTGCGATGCGGTGTAATGCGAGAGGACGGATGGCTCGTTTCAGCAAATGTCAAAATTCAGTGTGTTCTTGTAACAGCCCGAGAAAAAGAGAAAGACAGAGGGAGAGGTGATGGTGAGGATGTTTAAAGGAAGAAAGCAAAGTGCCAGGCAGCACAATATCTTTATCCACCAACGCCACGTATACACAAAAGGTCGACCATTATAACATCTGATGTCCAGGGATGAATTTCATTTTCGTTATAAAGGGAAGCCTGAGAGCTTTACAGGCACGAGAGGATTCGCTTGGTCGGGCTCCCGGCACCATGAATAATAAGGGAGAAGCTGATTAGCTGGCACTGGATGCAGGGCGCAGGTGCACAAAACTATGTTCATCGTACTTCGTATCTCGTGACCGAAACGCTCTTCACCATTTGTCCTGCAAGAATAGCCTCAACATGGTTCTGTTCTCCTTGTCACGCTCACATCATGAACCTTTCTAGACCCATAGAATCGTCTTCTTGTCGATGATACGTGGAATATCGCCGAGGCAAGCTATATGTATCGCCCTGATCAGGCTTCACCGCTCCCAAAAGACAAGACAAGTCGTTCGCAACGAAGCTCGCGACCATGCTGCCACAATCTAGGCGACAATAGCAAGCAAGCTACTTGAGTACGACCCTCAAACCCTTCGAATCCACTGCAGGAAATGGAGAGAAATAATCGTGCTCAATCTCAATATCCTTCCTCGTCGTCTCAAAAAGCTCGGCATCGAACTCATGAAAGAAACTCGCAATGGTCAGATAAAGGTTCATAATGGCAAGCTCCTTGCCAATGCAACTCCTTCCCCCTCGCCCAAAGGGGACAAAGTACTTCTCCAGTCTCTTCAGCTCTTCGCCATCCACCAGCCACCGTTCAGGTTTGAAGGACAATGGTTCGGGATACACTTGCTCAAACGTGTGATTGCTTCGAATTGCCATGCTGATGACTGTCCCAGGAGGCAACACGTACGATCCGTAGGTATATGCCTGGCGATGATTGACCCTTGCAAGTCGGCCGGACACACTGCATGCAATTCGCAGCCCTTCATTAATCACGGCGGTGAGGTAAGGTAGGCGTTGCAGCGTGCTGTAATCCGTCAAAGCGTCTCGCTTGTCCTTGGATGCCTCTACTGCGCTGGCCAACTCCTCCTTGAGTCGCCGAAGCTTGTCCGGGTTGGCGAGAATATGGAATGTAATGGTCTCCAGAGCATTTCCTGTAGTCTCACTACCGGCCCCAACCAATGTCCGGGCCTCTTGAGTGATCCTATCCACTGTCTTGTCGCTCTCTGGAATGGCGTCCGAGTTGATAATGCCATCCAGAACCGACTTGTCACTTCGCTTTTCTGCATGGACGGCGTCCGCCGCCTGTCGCGCCAGGTCCTACATATGGTCAGCCACTGCTGAGAACCAGACTCGGACAAGATCATACTGTCTGGAAGTCGAAGGCCATCACCCCACCTTCCGTTGAGGTAGCTGCGACAAGCCATCTCGGCATCCGCATGAATATGGGAATGATGATTGGAATATGGCGGTGCCACGCGGCAATATGGGAGATGACACGCGCCTGGCGGTTGTAGTCATCGGCAAAGTCAATGGAATCAAGCAGATTAAAGGCCTTTGGCATACAACTGCGTGTCTGTCAGGTTTGTGTCTCTTGAGCAACCGCCAACTTCTGAAGGACTCACTAATTGGTGACGGAGTCGGCAGCGAGACAACGAAAAGCATTGGAAAGATTGACGGGCTTTCCCTCATCGCGCATATTCCTCAGTCGCTGGCAAAGCTTCGACACCTTTTCTCGCGACGACGATTCCAGGTTGGAGATGGCCGAACTTGCAAAGAATCGGCTCATTGCCTTTCGCCTGGCACGATGGAGGTCGACATTGGAGGTACCAAAGCCGGCATCTTTGGACCCAATAAAAGCATAGTACCAGGGGTCTTTATCTAGACGGCTGGTAACGTTGTAGAACTCGTCGAAAAAGTCGGGGTCATGGATATGGACTTCGTTGGGTCCTACCCGTACAATGGGTCCTGGGAACTGGTTGGCGACGGCCACGCGGAACTTTTGTCAAAATGCATACCATATTGTTTATGAAGGTCTTCGATCTTGAATACAAATTTTCCTCCCTGGATGCAGTCATAATAGAAGTCATAGAGCCGGGAGATCGCTGCAGCCTTCGGCCCGGGAATCTTTGAGAGGGGATGAAAGAACAAGCGATAGATAACCAGAGTTGCAAGGCCGCCCAAGCCAGCCAATGCGAGTAGGATGGCAGGGGCCGCATCCGACATGACAGCCATGGTTGGGCCGTGGACAATTCGTCACCAGTAGGCACCTTCTGTGGACATATCAAGTACAAAGGACGACAGATGAACCTTGTGGAAAGGAGTGAGATTGCTTTACAAGGGGATGCAGCCTGTGTAAACCGAGTTGTTCACAGCTTGGGCGATAGCGTGCACTTCTAGAGACCTTCTGGATCTCCATTTTCGAGACAGGCAGAGGATGCGAGCTGCCTATCTTGGGTTTCAAGCCGAGAGGAAGAGTCGCTCTGCAGATTCTCGCCTAACGACAGGGGTTCTTGCGTGGTCAAGGCACAGTGGAGGGCTGCAGTAGTCGTGACTGGCTGCGCGCAATTGATTAGCTGCATCTCCCAAAGAGAGCCACCGAAGAAGGGAACGATGGACTGCGACAGCTCTGCCCGCTGTGGGTAGAAGATGGCCAGACAGCCAGAGTAGCCGTGAACTCGTTGGCTATTTCGATGTACTTTTCACAGGATCAGAAAACTTGCTGGGGGCCACTCGGAGGCCTCTCCTAAATAGTCTGCATCTGTACCTGGTAGGTATATGGATCTCGTCAGTAGTGGAGGTCTTCTCGGAGGTGCAAGCCCCGATCCCAATGCGTTCGTGGATGAGGTGATTGTTGGTTTGGTGGTGGAGGTTTGTACGGAGTAATGTGGTGGACTGCAACCATTGACCGCAGTTTGTGACGCCACGCTTCGGCGCCTGCGCCCTCCAACCACTACCGAGTCCTCAGACTGCGCCCAGCACCACCACATCTTGACCACTTGGCCCCGCTTTCCACAGCTTTCCACAGCTTGGAAATCAAAGTCGCTGGGAATGGAGGGCTGCATATTCCACCAAACGGCGGGTCTCTTCAGGGGCACCGACCTCCCTGCGCCGTCATCCTCACTGAGCTCGCCCATCCCAGTCCCCCGCTTTGCCTTTGCGGTCCTCGGAAGATACATCAAAACTCCCCGTCTGAAGAGCGAACTGTTGTCCAACCATAGCTGGAAGGCTATCTTTTCCGAATGGGTGCCGAAGGTTCAACTTCCGCAAATGTGCAACGGCGTGCCATGTGCCATGTACCATGCGCCCACCGGTAGTTACTGGAGCTAGGGGCACTCTCTCGAATGCCTCGCACACTGCTTCGGTCGAACGAGCCACATCGACTCGATTCAAGCCAGGGTGACAGATAAGCTATTGTGCCATGCGAGATCCCACCAAGTAAGTGGAGGGTTGATGCCTGCTGTGAATTCAGAACCACGCCCGCAACTTGGGGGAGCAACGATCCATGGCTGCTAGGTGCTTACGAGCAAGCATGTCAAGGTGCTTTCATTACCCTCAAAAGTGTGAACAGGTCTTCTATTCGTCGGCAAATGCTGCTTATCCGTCAGCCATGTGTTCTGGTGGAGCTGGCTTGCCTAAGACTTTACAGGGTGTGTGGAAAGCACTCAAGGACCTGAGACCCGGAGCCTCCGCATTCATGTGCAGGCTGAGATACCTGGCCTGAGTGATCATTACTTCTGTTGTACTTTCCCTCCCACCAGACCTGCTGATTGCTGTATACATGGCACTGGCAACATGAATCAAACTCTGGAGCCCCCGCCGACGGCCCATTGAGATATTGTTTCTATGGCAGGTGACGGTGATAACGATTCTGCTTATGCCGAGAGCATAGGTGCCTACTCGGAGAATACTTCTGCGTCCTCGAGTGTGTTCGACTTCCAATACGAAAATGGGCGCCGGTACCATTCTTACAAGGCCGGGCAATACTTCGCTCCCAATGACGAACAGGAGCAGGAAAGACTGGACCTCCTTCACCACGTTCAATCCATGGTCCTCGGTGGAGAGCTGTTCAGAGCACCAATTGAGACTCCGCAGCGTATTCTTGACATAGGCACCGGTACCGGAATCTGGTCTGCTTAATCTGTCTTCCCCGAATCCGTCATTCCACCGCTGAAACTCACCCAGAGCGATTCAAATGGCCGACAACTTTCCCATGGCAGAGGTTGTCGCGACTGATTTATCGCCGATTCAGCCGACTTGGGTCCCACCTAATTTGGAATTTCTCATAGATGACTGCGAGGCAGACTGGACATTTCGTCGCAGTTTTGATTTCATTCGTCTTGGGCATATGGTATGCCAATCTTCTACCACTGATTGGCTCCTTCGCCGAATCGGATGATGGAGAAAGCATTGAGTCACCAACTTTTTGATACTGACTGGCATGACACAACAGGGCGGGAGTATAGCGGACTGGGAAAAGCTATTCCAACAGTGCATGGAAAACCTCAGACCAGGTGGATGGGTGGAAGTGATCGACTTTGAAGGTGGGGAAGACAAGGCCGTTTCGAGCGGAACATTGCTGACCTGTGGTGCAGCATGGGGTAGCACAGACGACAACAGCCTCCCTGAAAATTCACCCTGGCATACGGTACGAGCACAAACAATGCGTATGGAGCGCACCAACCAAGTCTGACTGTTTGTTAGTGGCAAACCGAACTCAGCAACGCAGCAGAGAGATTCGGCCGGGTCATGAACATCAGCCCACACATCAAAGGTCTTGTCGACCAAGCAGGGTTTGAAAATGTGGTCCATGAAGTTCACAAGGTAGGATGAACATGGGCAACTGTCCGTGCAAAGAGTTTCTAATGCAGTGGATCAGGTCCCGTTGTCTCCATGGCCCAAAGAGCCTCGTCGAAGGGATCTGGGCTTGAACATGAACATGATAATGACTGAAGCGATGCAAGCATACAGCCTGGCACTATTCACCCGGATACTAGGCTGGGCTCCGGCAGAGGTGGAGGTGCTCCTGGCTGGGGCGAGGAGAGATCTGAACAATCTCAACCACCATTTATACACTCGATTACATATCGTTTACGGGAGGAAGCCGCTTATACCGAGGACACCTTCTTGAGGGCGATCAAAAAGGTTGGGATGGACAGGGATGGAAAGACTGTTTGCGGATGAGGTTCGAGCTTCAGTATTTGGTCGGATTGGCATGTGGAGGGACTGTTGCTTCTAAGGACTTATCTACGAAAAGTATGTATATGGGAATTGCTTGGCACCGTGGCACTCGGAAGGTCTATAGCTAAACTCCGTGGGTGCGGGCCCCGTCTATGTGCGCTGCCAAGTTTTCGGATTGATAATATCGACCCGGCATTAAGGCGGATGCAGGTTCTTTGTCCGTTACGTTGGCTGAAGAGGGTGTTGTGTTTGTGTTTGTGGTTGTTTTGTGGTCTGGTGGATCGTGGGTGGATCGTGGATATGTATGGGACTTGGGGGCCTAGGGGCTATGGATAGCCTGGGACATACACACTGTATCTCGTAGGAGGGGAGTAAGTATTTCTGTGCGTCTGCATACTCGCTGCGCCGCGCCGTGTGGAGACGTTTCACTCAGGTCACATATGTATGTATATAGGTGGTGTATACGTAGGTGGTATCCCATAATATGTGGTATGTAATAATAATATAGTTCCTGGAAATAATGTCGTCGGGGTTAATTACTAATCGGAAAAGAAGAAAAGGTCAAAGCAAAGCACGAGACATGGCCTGCCAGCCTGCATGGCATGGCATGGGTGCAATGGCAAAGCAAAGCAATACCAGAGCCAAACTAGCAAGGTATAGATGAAATACTGTAGATACTGTAGGTAGACAGTAGTGTAGGATAATAGGGTTTTGGGTGAAATCTAAACCCTGTTACATATTTTTAAGGTTCAAAATCAACAGTCAACCATCAACCATAACTATAAGAACCTCGCAAGACCTCTGCATCTTCTTCTCCTTGTCATTCTCATCCTCATCCAAGGGCTGTTTACCCTTTCGTTCCTTACGAATATAACTCATAATTGGGAACGACAAGTCTGTTCTAGTTTCCCGCTCGTACGGCTTGACTTTGGGGAGTGGACGCTGAGCTCGCGAGTGTGTTGTCGGGTTTATTTTTCCTTCGTGTTATTATTCTACAGGGGTGAAACGGAGGATAGGGGAAAAAGAAGGGAGAGGTTTTCTTTCTCAGATAAAAGACGAACAAGAGGGCTCGATCTGCCATGGCTACCCAACAACGAGGACAAGGACGACGGCTCCCGGCACGGACAAAATCAATCCTGGTCCTCGGCGCGGGCGAACTGGGCCTCGCCATCCTCGATGCCATTCTCGCCCACCCGGCCTTCGAGCCCGGCACCAGCAGTGTCACTCTGCTAATCCGGCCGAATAGCCTGAACAACCCGTCGCCGGCACAGCAGTCGCAGCAGGCTCTCCTTCGCAGCCGCGGCGTGGACATAATCGCGGGCGACATCGAGGCGTCGTCACAATCGAAGCTCGCAGAGCTCTTTGCACCCTTCACCGCCGTGCTGCACGCCGGCGGGATGACGCTGCCGCCCGGCACCATGACCAAAGTCACCCGCGCGGTGCTCGAGGCGCAGGTGCCCTACTACATCCCCTGGCAGCACGGGGTGGACTACGACGTCATCGGCCGGGAGGGCGGACAGGGCATGTTCAGCGAGCAGATTGACGTGCGGGAGCTGCTGAGGGGTCAGCAAGAGGGCAAGAAGACGGACTGGGTGATTATCAGCTGCGGCATCTTTATGAGTTTTCTGTTTGAGGACTTTTGGGGCGTGGTCAGACGGATACCGTCAACCGGCAAAGAAACAACGCGGGACAAGATCCAAATCACGGCCCTCAACTCCTGGGACGATGTCATCACCGCCACCACGGCCGAGGACATTGGCAAATGCACGGCCGCGCTGCTCTTCACGCCAGACGCACCCACGAACACGCCCGTCTACATTGCGGGAGACACGCTGACGTACGGCGCGTTCGCGGACACGATCGAGCGCGTCGTGGCGCCCCTGGGCATGGAGGTCGTTAGACAGGTATGGCCGCTGAGTCATCTCAGGAAGGAGAGCGAGTCGGACCCCGAGGACAAGCTCAAGAGGTACCGCGTCGTCTTCTCCGAGGGCAAGGGCCTAAGCTGGCCCAAGGAGCGGACGTGGAGTGCAAAGCAGGGGATCCCGATGGTCACGGTGGCCGAGTACGCAAAGAGGCTCTTCTCTGCCGACGGTGGTCCATCGCAGACATGACTGGGATATCTGGCGTTCGACACCGTCTGAGTGGGTGGCAGCGCAGGCGATGACATCGGCGTAAACGGACGATGGTGATGTCGATGTTGTGGACGATAGACCAAGTTCGCGCCTCGGTAGCAACAATGAGAGATCTTATTCCAGACGATGCATAAGGCGTCGCACAACGCTACACATCATCCTCTTCGAAATCAGTAGTCTGATGGACACGGCGCGTGCGGAGTGGACAATACTCGTTGATGTTACGGGCTTACACGAGCACAACGGGAGAAGGAGAGAAGAACGAGTCTGATGTGAAAAGCTCAATTTGATTGTGTCATGTGACACTCTGTGTGTCACGTGCTGTCTAAAAAGACCGTTTGGCTCTGTTTACGCCGGAAGGAAAACCACCCATGTCCACCACTACCACCGCTACCAACCATCCTGCCGGTGCGCACTTAGTCGCGCAGGTTCTCGACGGCGCCGCGTCGACGAACCACCCGATCGACAAACGCCTCCTCCGAGCGGTTGACGACGACCGTCGACCCGGAGAACTGCCGAGGGCGAGTTCTCGGGCGACAGATCGTGTCGTAGCTCGGAGCCGGCGTCACGATCGGGTTCCGGCCAATCTTGCTGTCGTCGAACGAGCTCATCTGGGCTCGGATCCAGTCATTGTGGTCTTGTCGGAACCAGCGGGCCCGCTGCTCCAGGCGGTCTGCTCGCTGGCGCTCCAGGCGACGGGTCCTTAGCCAGTATCCAACAAAGGCGGCGATGGCAATCGCGAACAACCCCAAGATGGGCGCGATGATTGCGGCAAGTTTCTGGCCGTGGCTGAGCGTCTTGTGCTCGCCAGGCTCGGCGCCGGTGCTGTTGGATGTAGCTGTGGTGAGAGGAGTCGTGGTCGCAGAAGTCTTCGCTCCAGGAAGATCACTTGTGGTTTTGTTTGCCGTGGTATAGCTATTATTTCCGGTAGGAGTCGCAGGCAGAGGCAAAACCGTGATCGTGGTGACAAGAACAGTAGGAGTGATTGAAGACGACGAGGTCGAAACTGGACCGGCAGTGGCAGTGCTGCTCTCTAAGGCCGTCGTGGTACTGATGCTGGTAGCTGTGACATTGGTGGTCTCGACTGGGGGCGCGGGCACCGGAGCCATAGCAGAGCTTGAGAAGATAAAAGTTGACAGAGTGAAAGGTAAACCGGCTGGCGTAAGACTCGGTGGAGGTGCAGCGGTGACTGGAGTCGGAGTCTTGGTGGGAAGATTGGCCAGGAAACCATCGCTGCTGGTCTGGATCGACCCGTTCAGCGAAGTGAGGAAACCAACACCATAAAATGGTGGAGGATCCGCGGTCTGGAAGCCAACGCCACACAAGACAGCCACGAAAAGTGCCGTGATCAAGGTTGCGGTTCTCATGATTGCTTGTCGAAAAGTGGTGGATGAGTTTTTCCTTGAGATGAAGATCCTGTCACACTTGTCAACGCCTATACACACTCTTGTGGAGGTGAAGGAGACTCACTGTTCGACTCTGTGGTCTTCTTTGTCTTCTGATCTGTCGGGGACACCACACACAAACTCTTCCGTATTTTGGTGACTTGCTCGTAGTTCGAGGCAAGTAGAGGTTGAGAGATTGGTAAGATTTGTGATTGAGGTTGTCTGTGCTTGAGCTGTGACAAAGGTCAGTTGACTTGATATCACTCGGTCGCAACAACACGTGAATGGAATTGTTCAGTGACATCCGTTTCAGATGGCAAGATCTGAAATGTCACTGAAGAGGAGAAAACACTGCTAAGGGTACAGTCAGACACGTACTGGATGGACTGTTGTCTTGTCAGAGCAGTTCAAAACTGTCGCTGTCGTCCAGGTGATGATGATGTTCTTTGAATAGAGGTTCTTCGTGAGAGAGAGGTGAGCTGGGAGATGGCGAAGAAGATTGAGAGCGAGAGAGAAAAGAATTCAAAGAAAGATCAAAATCCGACTCAAAGCAGAGGGCGCCGGCAGAAAAGTCGTGCTAACGAGGGCGACGGTAGTGAAGACGATCATGGTCTCGGCGCTCAGTGTAGCGCCGAGACCATGATGTCGTCGGCGACCGGGGTGGACGGCGCGGAGCGCTTTATATATACATTTTGATTTTGCGAAAGAAACGGGACAGTGAAAGGAAGATTTTCTATCCAGGAAATCAAAGAGCAGATATTTAAGTCACGCTAAAACCTGGACGCCAAGCGGCAGTCGCCAGTGAGGCCCATCGCTGTCGTCTTCACGCACTTTAGAATACATACTAACAAGCTGTCAGTCTCAAAGGAAAGTCGGCCGAAGGGTTTGTCTAAAACTCACAGGGATGAACAAGTATGGGACTTGTCTCTCATACTCCTCCCAAGCCTTGCCGTACTTCTTCCGGCATTTCTGGATATCGCGTGTGGCTCGGTGAATGATCATGGCCGTGAAGAAGAGAGGATAGAACCACGGGAAGGGGGATCTGAATCCCGTCACAGCTCCCCAAGACAGAGCAAAGAAGAGATCACAGGTGTAATGGATCTTCCTCGCATAGCCATCTGCAGAAAAAGCTATTAGTTGAGATATCAAGATGGGCCCGAGACCACTTACACCAGCCATCCGCAAGAATCGTTCCCCCATTTTCCGATACGATGACCTTTGGGTTCTCGACCGTCTGCCAGGGTAGTTGCGGGAATGCTTTTCGTGTAAAAGCACCACCAGATTCCTTTGTTCGGAAGCGGTTCTTTTGGCTGTTTGTTGTATCCCAAACCCAATAAACAAACAGGTATGCCACGAACAATACGGCGAGCGCATATTTGTTCCACACATACGTGCTTGGGTGGTGGTTGGCCAGGTAGATGGTGCAATGGCAGTAGGTCAGGGGCACGCCAGCCATGTTCCAGAAGATCAGCATGAAGCCCCATTTCTCAAAGTACATATCCCAAGTCGGCACAATGAGTTCTTCGCCTTTGCTGCACGCATTTGCGTAGAGAAAGTGTGCCATGAGCAAGATTCCGACTTCACCAGACACGTACCCGTAGAGTTCGTATTGCCGTGCTGCCGTCCCCAACGTTATCAGGAACAGGATGTACCATGGCATGCGAACCTCGAAGAACATCTTGAAGTCCAGAATTCCAAACATGCGGGGGTTCAGCTCCGCGCCCATGAAGAAGTCGTACATCAGATACCCCGTCATACGGTGCTGCTTGCCCCGATAAATGGCCGAGGCATATGCAATGATTGCCACAGCGAAGCCGGAAATGATCGCCACAGACATGAGCGGGCCGAACTCGTCAATAATGGTGTAGAGCTTGAAGAGGCCAGAGAAATGGAGGCCAAGGGCCACGATGATGGTTGCCCACCAAGACCACATTCCACTGCAGTAATAGTCCAATCTGAGTCCGTTTTCATGAGGGAGCGGTTTGCCCTTGGTCCAGATCCCCGGCATCAAGCAGTAACATGCGCTTTCAAAGATGCAAAAGGTCCAGTAAATGACCCAGGCTTTTGCTGAAGGCCATGCACCGTAGTACGCCATGCGAAAAAGGCCGTAGAAGAAATCTCTTAGGGACTCGCCCTCTCTCGGAGTCGGGAACTTGCCGTCGTAGTATGTTGCCCCGATCCACATGTAGTACATTAGCAACGGAAAGCCGACCATCATCGCAGTCACCCCCAACGGCCCTCCGAATTCAAAATGTCCCGATGAATCGACCTTGGGGTCCATTCCAGGTCGCCATCCGTCAACCAATTGCTGCTCCGAGCAGACCTTCTCTTTGCTTTCCGTCTTGGTTACGTGTCCATTTTCTCTCGTTTTGATATGTCCATTGGCATGTCCATTAGTGTATCCATTGGCGTATCCATTGATTCTTTCGGGTTCACCTCGATCGACGCGTCGCGACGGAATAGTGTCCGTGTCGTCGTGATCATCCGAGTCCCCGACGGAATGGCCTCGCACGCCATGTTCCTCGACAGCGACCGCAGCAAGAGATTTACGCGGTCGAGGCTTGCCGTAAGTGCCCGGTGTTTCGACATAGTCGGGCCGTACTGTTTTCCTGCCCAGGATTTAGTAAAAGGGGTTTTCCGCGTCGCAGGGAGGTTTTAGGTGCGGATAATAGCCATACCTGGGCGTTTTCCCCGCCTGCGTGCGGGTGACTGTCATGCTGAAAAGAGTGTGCGCATAAGAATAGACCACAAGAAAGAGCGACTATACGCGACAACTAATGAAGGGGTTGTAGCGACGGTGGTGGGTGAGTGATAAGTGGTGGTACGAGGCGGAACAACGGGAAGGGGATTTTGGCCCATTGGGATTCTGTGTCTCCATCTTGTTGTCTCCATCTTGTCTCCGCACACATCAACATCCTTCCCATTCCGTGCCGTCCAACCACGTGCGAAAGCCACTTTGGTCGAGAGGACTCGTTACTGGCACCGTTCATTATGCATGTTATTGAATTCTTCTCCTTCGTATTCGTCAGTCTGACGAGCAGCGGCTTCGACGGTTAATTGATTTGCAGCTATATACCGTGATTAATTGTGTTTGCAAGCTCCTCATAGCCATACATATATATACATATATGCACAATGAAGAGCATCGCTCAAAAAAGGGATCACCAATGGTGAAAGATCGAAAATTCAAAATCGGCCGCTACCTGCTTCCTATGTATGCTATGGGAGGACGTATATATATGTGGTATGTTGGTATGTGGTATGTGGTAGGTAGATAGATAGATGTCAAGATCGGGTCGTTCGTTACCTATTGTCCTTTTCTTTCCCTCTGCTCACGTCGTAGGGCCAAATATCAATAAAATGTGTGTTTGGCCCACGCCCAAAACTCAAAAAAGCAATCCGTTATAAATGCAACGCACGCTTTACAAGAACAACCCGCTGATCGCAACGGCGGCGCAGAGGACCACGCTCAGCATGGTGCCGGGCAGCTGGCTCTGGGCAGCAGTGGCACCGCCCGTGAAGGGGGTGATGCTGATAGGTGCAACAGGAGTGGAGGACGCAGACGAGGGAGACGGGGCGAGCCATCCGCTGTTGCTTCCCGCAGAGGTGGTTGCTGCTGCGACGGGGGTACTGGCTCCGTTACCAGCAGGCTGTGAGTAGGTCCAGGTCGAGGACGCAGCGGCGACTGGAGTCTCAGTTCCGGACGGGTGCACGGGCGCTGCTGCGACGTCTGTGGGCCGGACAGGCACAACAGTCTGGGTCATAACGGCCGTAGCGGTGGCCTCGGGAACAGTCAAAGTCACTGTAACCACGGTGGGAGCGCACACAGAGCAGACCGTCACCGTGGTGTGGAATCCCCGGGGGCATCCGTCAGCGTTAGTGGGCCACACGAATGGTGCAGTGGTGGTGGCTGCTGCAACAGGGACTGTGGTGGTGTAGTGGTACGGATGCGTGGTGTAGCCGTTGGGGCCGATATCGGTGTATACCGTAGTCCACACGGTGACCGTGTACTGACCAGTTGCGCTCGTTGTGGCAGACCAGTCTGCCCAGCTCACCGGCGCGCTTGTCGTTGTGGTCTTCGTCGAGGTGGGATCAACCGGGCTGCTGCCCGCGGAAGTCCAGTCTCCCCATTGCCAGCCGGTCGTGGATGCGGCAGAAGCGCTAGAAGTTGTTGCAGGGCTGACATAGACCGACGAAGTGGACGAGCCGTGGCCCAGCGAGTGGCTATATGAGCTGGTGGTCACAGCCGGTGGCACGGTGCTGCTTGTAGTTGTTGTTTCCCCAATGGGGCCGAGAGTGTGACTGTACGTGGTTGTGGTCCAGCTGCTTGTCGTCGTGGTTTCACCAATGGGGCCAAGCGTACTGCTGACGGTGGTTGTAGTCGAGCTGCTTGTGGTTGTAGATCCACCAATAGGTCCAAGCGTGTTGCTGTAGGTGGTTGTGGTCGAGGTGGACGTGGAAGAAGACTCGGAGCTGGTCGTCGTAGATCCACCAATCGGTCCGAGACTATGGCTGTAAGTGGTCGTGGTTGTGCTTTCAGATGTGGTGGTTGGAACAGGGGACGACGACGTAGTGCTCGACGTTGTTACGGCCGGAATCTCGGTGGTGGTTGTCGTGGTCGAAGACGAGGTCGAGGTCGAGGTGGGGGCAACCACTTCGCTAGTAGTGGTTGTGGTGGTCGTGGTGGTCGTGGTGGGAATTGGCGAAGTCGTTGTGGTTGTCGTGGTGGTCGTAGTGGTGGTAGTAGTAGTGGTTGTTGTCGTGGTGGTGGTGGTTGTGGTAGTGGTCGTCGTCGATGTGCTCGTCGTCGTTGGCGGTGCGCAAGAGAGCTTGCCAAAGATATCCTTGATGTTGGCAGCATAGCTCTTCCCGTTCTGCTGGTTGTTGTCCGAGTAGGTCGCCTCCCAAAGCATCACACCTCCGAATAGAGACTGATACGTGCTTGAGCACGCATACTGCTCGATCAAAGCCTGGGCTTGGTCCAGGCTCAGGTAGTGGTTGGGATTAGCGGCGATGTTTGACGCGGGCAGACCCAAGAACATCTTGATGTTCTGGTTCTTGGAGTTCTGCTTGAGCCATTGGGCCCAGCCAAAAGTGATGTCGGCGGCAGTGTTGAGGGAACCTGAGCTGAACAACGATGCTGCCGAGCAGGAATCGGTGTTGTAGTATTGGACAAATCTAGCAAGAGTTAGCAATGCATTCTCAACAAGGGGACGAGAGTCAGGGTGTGGTCCGTACACATAATCGATGACGGAGTTTTTGATGGCGTCGTCCAGATGAGCATCCGGCACAACACACTGTGGTGCCGACGAGATGATGTAGCTCTTGGAAGTGTCTTCCTGGAACCGGACTCGCAATTGATTTACTAGGTCGGCGTATCCAAAGTTGCTTCCTGACTCGATGTCCAAGTCGAAACCATCGACGACAGTATTCAGGCCAAACGGTCGGGGGTAATCCACCAAGGTAGGATCCTGGACTGGACCGAATGCACCCCAAAGAAAGTCGGCAAAGTCCTTTGCAGAGTCTGAGGTGGCGATGAAGTTTCCAGACTCAGCACCGCCAATCGAGGCAAGAATCTTTTTGCCCATGCCCTGGCAGATGGCGACATCAGTCGCGATTTGACCACACGTCGTGAAGACATTGGTCTGGACACCCTCTGGCGACTTCCAGGTGACACCGCCACAAGCATTCCCGTAGTTCGTTCCCGGGCCACCTGTTTGATCGGGGAAGACATTGACGAAACCGATGGGGATGATGTCCATGGTAGTATCCGCGCAGAATTCGGCCAGACGTTTCTGGTTTGGTCCTTGTCCCTATAACACGATCAGCCCGGAGTCCCACGCGTGCCCCCCCATATGCCGTTTCGCCTCACCCAGTAGACTGCCAAGCTTGGTTGAGACGGAGCCCTCTTTGCGACAGCGGAGCGTGCTCCAAACATTGGTGTTGCGATTGTAGATGAAATGAACGCCGCCGTGGCCAGCAAGCTGGCGGCGAACATGTTGGAATGCATGATGTAGCGTTATCCTCGTAGGACGAAACGAAAAATAAGAACGAATTGGAAGAAGCAAAAGGCCAAAAAATCACGCAGCGAAGGAGTGTGTGGGCTGAAAAGGCCCGTTAAGGAAGGACTGGACGCAAGCAATAGCCTGCAAACGCAAAGGTAAACACTGTAATGAATGGAAGCGTACAAGACAGAGGAAGAGAGAGAGAGAGAGAGAAAAGGAAAATCAATAAATCATAAAGTCAAAACGCGACCCATATGTATTGCATGAGATCTTAGGCGAAAGCGTCTGTACCATTCCCCTCTGCGACGAGGCGCCCTAGGAGCGGGTGATCGAAAGGCTCTCCACCCATCAATCTGGAACACCCTTACCGTTGGATCTAGGCCGAAATTGGGGACATTGAGAATAATACCATACAAGGAGATTCTGTCCCTTTTGGGACCTAACGCCATCGAAGCGCTTCTGAGGTGACATTCCTCAAGGATGAAATCGAGTCCGACAGACAACCCTGTGCGAGACCGAGGGGAAATCAGGAGGATTCTGATGCCTTCGGGTGGCTTGAGGAGGAAGGGGGCGCGAGTTTGAGGGCAACACCGCCTGGAGTCGCCTCACGATCGGATGGCGTAAGCGGCGAAAGCCTCTCAGATGGATGATGGGCGTTGTGTGAGCGCAACCTTTTTGCCGGGGGTCACCAAGTTGTTTGTGGCATCGACATCAAATCTCCTGGCCAGGCGTGCCAGGCTCTTGATGTTCAAGTGGGGCTGGCTATAGCTATAAGGCTGATAGATCATTGGCTCCTATCGATAGCTCTATGTGCCAAGGTTCAAGCCAGGGGCATTAGCGCTGCCTATCTCAGACTAGCGCGTCTCCTTCAGGGGCACCCGGCTAAATGGCACAGCGACTATTACTTGGATCCATTTCCCCTGCAACAGATCCAAACACCGGCTCCTACTCTCACGGGTACGAATACGATCGGGTCTGGAGATCTGTGGCTGCACTTGACCATATTCACATGGCCACACTTTGCGCCATAACAATAATATTAACGGACAAAGGTCAGCATCTGTCCCTCGTCCCGCGCCCGAAGCCCTTTTGTAAGGAAAACGACGAGGCCGATAACCCTGACCACCCCGCAAACGACAGGAGGAACAGTCATACATGAAATCATATGTCAAGCAGAGGCTTTGTCAGAATGATCTAAAATTGGTCTCTACCTATAAGAGCGAACCTGGCACCGGAATGAAATTGCCCTGTCGAGCCGAAATGTTTTCTGAGGCATCCCAGGTTCACATATTATTGCTTTGGGGGCCACGTGAGGCGAAATCATTAATAATACGTCGCATTTGCGCACAACCTCGTGAACCTCTATGGGAGTCTTTCGCATGATCATGATGTGATCACGATTGGTCGTTCAGGTCGAGTCAGCTGCTGACGGTTCAGAGAGGAAAGGAAGAATATTGCAAGGCGCGCCACGCAGGCCAGAGTGCTCCCTGCAATTCTGATTTATAGATAATAAGACAATGATCCCCCTATCTCGTGAGACCTGTCGTCCATGGCAATCCGGTGAACGTCAAGGAAAGATTGCGCTATTCTCATCACCCAGTCAAGAATGCGACCGCAGTGCCACAAATGCCATCGAGTCCTCCCTACCTCGTCGAGTTGACGTGTAGTCGCAGATCGCAGGTGGAGCAGTTGATCGTGACGATCGAATGACGAACAGTATTAGATCCTTTCTTTAATCATCACAACGTGGCCGCCGATCTTACCAAACACCTGTTACTAATCGGGTTCGAAAACAAAGAATCACAGAGGCAACGGCCGTTGCCCATCCAACCCTCCTTCACTGCCCTCTTCCCCTACAAAACTGATATCGTCTTATAGATGGGATCATCCTGATCAGAGAGGTTTGTCTCTCTAGCGAAGGTGTTCTGCGCAGTCTCTGCTTAATTCTGCCCTCCCCCTAGTGGCACTTGATAGACTTTGTTTCGCCCAGACATTGGAGACAATGTACACTTACAAAGTGTTTAATCTGCGTCTCACGTCAAATCTAAGGTGGTGACACTTCTTTGGTGATGCGATCGGTGCCCAACGCACGTCATATTCTCATAGTCGGAATGGTGGTGGTCGAACCATGTCCTTACGCTCAAGTGATCCAAATATGATGCTCGAGTAGGGTATGACAGGAGGTAATGAACGCAATACCAAGCGCAGTCCGTGTGCTGAGCGACAACTGCCTGTGTTTCGCGGATTGCCTTTGGATTTTGGCTCGTGGTTCCTCCGAGAACGATATGCCTGTACGAGAGTATGTACAAAAGTGCAGATCAAGTCTTTCGGGGAATAGTGCCCCTTGGATCCTCCTTTTCAAATCGTCATGTGCTCCGATCAAATCTGTACTCTCTAGCGCTGAGGGAAAATGCACCAGGACCATACTCGTGCTGACGAAGGGACCGGGTTCCTTTAAGAAGATACTCCGATGGTTGTCTACTTCTCTGGAACGACATTCTCATGGGCAAACTCCTCGCTGCTGGTTTCGCTGCCGACTTCCTTAATTGGACCAGTAAATTTCTTGCGAGCTCGGAGGATATAGTTGACGGTAGCACAAATCATGACGAATCCGAACACAGGGGAAGCGTAGTTCATGTTCTGTCCAGTGACGGGCAGGAATGGCGGAAATGGCAAGAAAATGATGAGGAAAATGCAGAATGTGACTGCAAGAACGTTGACGGGTAGACCGAATTTGCCCATAGTCCAGGGACCGAAATTAATGGGGTTGGAGGGATTGTATCGTCGGATTGCGAACATGACGGTCGGGATCGCATAGGAGAAATAAAAGCCCAATGTTGTCAGGGAGATCAGGGCATTGAAAGCAGTGGTTGACCCTATGTTGATGAGAGAGAGGAGGGAGACAGAGACGAATATCGAGAGAACAGCGTTCGTAGGACATTTGTTCCAAGGGGTAATGTGCGAGAAGAAGCGGGAGAACGGAAGACCATGGTCTCTTGCAAAAGCCCAGATAAGGCGCGAGACAGATGCTGTGCACCCAAAGAGGTTCATGGTGAAAACAATGATAACACCAGTCATCATCGCCGTTGCCGCTTTCTGGTTGCCGGTGGCTTCCAGGAAAACAGCAATTATAGGGTAACCAGTAGGCGTCGCAAAAACCGCATCCGTATCGGTGATGGCGTAGAGAATCGTGATGATATATGCAAAGCCAGCCAATCCATTGATTGTGACTGACCAAATCATCGCACGAGGAATATTGAGAGGAGCGTTGTACGCTTCCTCGCTCATGTGGACGACCGCGTCTACCCCGGCGAGCGCAAAAGCCGGGGTGAGGAATCCAATGCAAAAGCTGACACCGTCACTGCTCCAACCGCCGGCGTTGATAAAGGTCCCCCAAACATCTTTGTCGCTGGCCTTTGTGCTAGTGGCTAGAATGGCGATAAAAACGATGAAGAAGAATAACACATGAAGAAACCCTCCCAAGGTCTCCCACAGCGGCAGAAATTTCTTGCCATAGGTGTTTCCCAGTGCGGCGACCCCGGCGAATCCAATCATCATGAGTGTTGCGTGCCACCTCTTCGCTTCGTAGCCGGAATAGTTGAGGATCGCTACCCCCTGAATCATGGTTGCGATCAAGTAGCATACTGACGCCACAGCTGCGACCCAGCCGGTGATGGTGACCCAGCCTTGAACATAGCTGATGATGGCACGCCATTTGACTGGTGAATGCTCAGCACTCCAATGATACTGAGCTCCAGCAATTGGCGAACTAGTTCGGCAATCAGCCAGTCTTTCTTTCTCTCTCAACGGACAATCCAAACACATACATAGATGCCATCTCAGCGAAAGAACCTGCGATGCACAAGGTTCCCAGAACGGACACGATAAATCCGTAGACGACAGAAGCAGGCCCGCCGTTGCTATAAGCACCAGCGAATAGAGCACTCGTGGCTTCCCACGTACACAGAGTGCATGCCGACATACCCAACAATGCCCAAAAATTCCATTCCCTCTGTAGCAACAAAGTCAGCGGTGTGCAGCAATGGAGACTTGTGGTGTTTATCCCACCTTTAGCACCTGCTTCTTCCCTGCTGCCTCCAAAGCAGCAGCATCTGAGATGAAGGCGGTCATTTGGGCGATAACACAACGCTATGAAGTGGAAAGACGTGCAGAACCCAAGTGACTGCAGGCACAGCGTGGAAGAACAGTCTGCGCAGATTCAGGCATATGAGAAGCCATAGGTGGCGGGAGCCACCGTACTTAAAGCTTGCTTGTTCTCGTAACGGAAGCATGCTATGGCACTGCACTCGTAGCGAGAGGACTATTGTTTTCTCACCCCGGCTTAGCGAAGCAGACGCGAAAGATGTGAAAGAGCCAGGGCACGAGGTTAGCCTATTTCCCTTCACATCTCGCCCTCGCTGACATGCCGCACATGTGTGACTGTGAAGGGGTTCACGCTCGTGGGACCCATGTCCTGACTGAGGTTCCCCACAGAGTTCGGAGTAATAGACAAGTCTGGCAGCTTGGTCTGCTCCCGCAAATTCTGTCCGACAAGTTGAACTCGAGATTATTCGGCGTTGAATGACATGCTTTGTCACGGCAGACCTATACAAGTTGTAGCGTAAGCTGACACGAGTGGTGTCAGACTGACCGTGGAATGACATTATCACAGGTCTCATGGAAATGTGACGCCTCCGCCAATAGCAGGCACAACTTGAGGCGCGATCTGCATGGTGCGTTGCACGGAGGTGGTGGTCCCTGCTGTGAAAATCGCTACTATCATTCGCAGCGGCCCATGTTGGGGAACGACCTTCCGGGCCGTTCAAGCCTCTTGCTGGTGGCCCTACTCGTGTTAATTGTTAGAGCTTATCTTGAGGAAAGTGATCGCCTTCGATAAGCCTTCCTTAATGTTGTTAGGTAGTCAAGTAGTACAGCACTGTCAAGGAGTGTAGAATGCGAACATCAGGGACACGGCGGAGACAACTTACCCTCCCAAGTTTGACTTGAGTGAGGAACAGTGACTTCAGCATTGCCGATGGCGCACAAGTATCTTGGTGTGAAGACATGCATATTTTAGTCGACAGTCAGTAGCGTTGGTTGCTTTATCCAGGAACCAGGGTATAAACTCCAAGGTGGGAGGAAAACGCATCAACTTCTGAACCTGGCGACCAAACTCACTAAGCATTCAAAGCTAAAGAGTGCATTCGGCGGACCTGAGTGGGACCCAGCGACCCTGACAGGAAGGATGGTTGTTGGTGCTTCTTGAGTACTCGGTACCTCGTACCACGTAGCATTTTGCTGTTGCGCATTTCCAGCGAAGTGTATCCACTAGGCGCTCAAACGAACATCCCTCCCGTGTTCTGTGCGGGAGTTTTCCCACCACCACGGATTTTCTAGACTCGAGACACTCCCCTGCCCCTGCTCCGAGCCCAAAAGAGCGCACCGGAGTCCAGGGTTCAAAAGGGTACTCAGTATATTTGGACGAGAAATAATATTACCCTGAAACAAAAAGGTCAAAGTGAGATGACCAGGGGTTCATCACATTGTCACAAGGTAGTGCGATGGCCATCTGTGGACGCTAAGGCATGTCGATCATTTGGACTTTTGGTGGGTGGCGCTATTCCGTGGCTGCACGTGCCGGTCGTGCTTGCAACGGCTTGAATGTCAAGGAAAGGAAGAGAGTGGACTGTGAAGAAACGAATACATTGCCATCCGAGTCTGTAACTGGGATTTATGTAGATAGGCACATACGTAGGTAGGATGGCGAGGAGAAAGGTTCGAAGCATACGCTTGATGGGCAGAGAGTGACGGAACGGAAAAACCATCACTCCAACTGCGGCGAAAATCACCGCCCTCACTGTTCTCACCGCCTTTATTTTTTGATCCGGCAGAATGTCCCGAAATTTTGTGGCTGCAGTGTAGCCTCAAGACTCGAAATGAAAGCCTTGACCGCAACGATAGGTACGAGGTACTTGTCGCCGCCCAATTCCTCCCGTAAAGCACTTCAATATGGCGGTGCCTATCAATGATCTCACAGCAATTTTCAAGGACCTTGGAGCTCTAGAGCGGGAATTTGCCGAGGTCGAGCTCGATGCCTGTGAGATGATATATCATTCGAGGCCACCACACACGCTGATTTTGCTATAGTGCGAAGAAAAGAATATTCCTTACGGACCCTGTACTCCAAGAGGGAAGCGCTATTTAAGAAGATCCCAAACTTCTGGCCAACCGTGTTTGGCTTCGGACCTGAAGACATCCGACAATTCTTCGCTCCAGACGACCTTCCTCTACTTGCTTCTATCGAGTCCGTGTCCGTCGACCGGTACCAGATCCAATCGGAAACCGAAGGCGAACCTCGCAGCATTCGATTTACCTTTCACTTCGCCCCCAATGAATTCATGGAGAATACGACGCTTATCAAGGAGTTTGAATTTCATCCCTCTGGAGATGGCCCGGGTAACCTAATCTCGAAGCCGGTTCCGATTAAATGGAAGGGGAAGAAGAAGGACCCAACACGCGGTCTCCTCGATGCAGCCGTTCAACTGTACAATGCAGAAGAAGCGCTGAAGCTCAAGCAAGGTGACAAGGTCGTTGATATCGTGGATCGAGAGGCGCTGTGGCAATATGAGAAACTCCGAGAAACACTAGTTCAGTTTGAGGAAGATGAAGGCGACATTCACCAACCAAGCTTCTTCTCTTGGTTCGGCTTCAGGGGCGCGGTCAACGCTGCGAATGTCAAAAACCCAGCCGAGACAGAGAATGGGTCCCGGGAAGAGGAGGATGACGCCGACGCCGACGAGTTCGAAGAGATGCTGGACGTCGAGATTTTCCCTGCTGGGGACGAGGTAGCTACCGCTTTGGTAGAGGACCTCTGGCCAAATGCCATGGACTATTTCCTGTCGGCTAGTAACCAAGATGACGAGTCCGACGATGACGATATCGACGATGAGGATGATGAAGATGAAGATGACGACGAAGCTCCGGAGTTGGTGTTGGCAGAGGAAGACGACGACAGGCCGCGCAAGAAGGCGCGTAAGGGTTGACATGTCAAGCCCGCTCGTCTCGACGTGATTGGGATATCGCCGTCCATAGAAGGAGCTTGTCAGAGGCTTCTGCTTTCCCTGGGGGTGTTCACGGATCGACCCAGGATCTTGCCTGGAGAGCCATCTGCTTCGTCGGGTTTGTGTTCAGGCGTTTAGGATTTCCAGCATCCCTTCATCTTCCATGCTCCCCCGGTGAGCATCGACCAGATAACCCTTAGGTGTGCTGGTTGGTTCCAGAGATAGTTCAACCACAAGATCAAAATGGCACGATCTTTTTGGCTTTAAATGACAATCACTAGAATCAATAATATCACCAAGACGACAATCAGCACCCCAATGCAGCAACTGCTGACACTGTCTTCATTCCGTCTGATCACCTCGCCCACCTTCTTCACCCCGACACTCAGCTTGCCACCTACCCGGTCGGCGAGGGTGTCCACCTCGTCCAGCAAGGCGCCTTGTTCCTCCAATTCACGGCCCATGTCTTCAGCCTGGCCCCTCAAGACGCCGACGCTCTGGAAAACGCCGTCGAGCTGTTCGTCTTGTTCTCGCATCATCATCTCTTGCTGCTGAGCCTCAAAGGCGCCATAGGGGTCATCGTCATCTTCATCGTCGTGATCGTCTTCGAAGGATGAGGGATTGGGTAGTCTCCCATTCGGTCCTCTTGTGCCGCCAGCGCCGGGGCCGGTCGTGGTGGACGCCGAGTATGCTCCTCCAGCGACGTGTGTATCTGTAGTGACGCCTTCCAACTCCCTCCTCATCCCGTCCACCTCGTCGCCCACATCCTTGACAAACTGCCTCCTCCGCTGCACCTCCGCGACATCTAGGCCGAAGCGGTACGGATCCGACTCTACGGCCTTTACGCTGTCCAGCAGATCCGCGAGGTCTGCCGTTAACGTCTCGAGGTTCGTCCGTAACTCTGAGCGTGACTGCTGCAGTTCCGGGGAGGTGGCGGACGTAGACAGCGTGCGGATACGGAGGTAGCTGGAGAACAAGTGCCGTGTACTTTGGAGTGTGGATTGTACGTCGGTTTGCACTTCGAGGAAAGGGTCGGAGGACGGAGGGTTCGCCATTGCGACAAGCAGGCGTGCGAGTCTAGGGTCAGGGAGGGAGGGCGCAGACTTGACGGATGCGAGGGTTTTACTGTCTGCTCATTACGGGAAGTAAACAACTTGGCGGGAGTCGTGCTCGCTGGCGTTGCGACACTGTTGTACCGAGTACCTAAGTTCCCTTGAATGACATTATTGGTGGAAACTATCTTTGGGGTTGGTTTGCCGCGACAGCGTATGACTTCCCCTGCCGCAATCTAACATCTTTCTTCGATCGCATACCCACGAGACATCAAGTGGGATCAGGATCAGGATTTACATTGTCCTATTGGTATGCAATATTGTACATGTCCTGATAGTTCCGAATAAATGGTACAGCATGAAGGCAGCGCAGCTTGCGAGGCCCTTCATCGTGGATACAACTCCATACTGACAGCATTGTAGCATTCTTGCCAGAGGCTGATCACTCCTGCAACTGATCATACATGATCAAACTTCTTCTCGGCTTATCGCCCACTTTTTCACGCAGGCTTTCCACCGTCTTCTTCACAACCGTTGTCAAGTTACTCAGCTCAGCCTGCAACTGATTTCCCAACTGCGCATTCTTCACAGATTCAATCTTCAGTGCCCATTCCATCGAGTTTTGGATCGGCAATAGTTCCACCAGAGCGAAGTTCTGCTCTATTTCTGTCAATTGCTCGAGCTGGGAAAACCGATCTTTGCTGTCCAGGTGAAGCAGCTTGGTGGCGTAGTTGGCGACTTTCCCTTCCTGATCCTGGCCAGCATAGGTGTGCACTGCCCTTGCAGCAGCCAGCTCCAGTAACACCGCCAGGACAACCAGATCTTTCCTGGCATCCACCTCGCCCTTTGACAGTTTGCCGCCACCATGCACTTCGTCTTCGAGCATCCGAGCAACATACTCAGCTCGCCGCGAAGCTGCCTCAAGTTCACCGCCCTTGAAATTTGCCGAAACCACGCGATTGTGGAACCCTAGCATCAACTCCTTCGCCACGCCCTTACGTGACAGCTTGACGCCCGTTTCGGCAGGTTTCTCTGCACAGCGTAGAATGATCCGTTCTTTGCCCACTTCACAGGCTTTGCGTGTTATTTTCTCGTAGAAACTAGAGGGAAGATTGATTTTTGCCATGACTAAACCGTGAAGGAACGGAGGGAGGTTGTTCCAATCTGTATCGTTGTGATTTCCTTCAAGAAGTTTTACTAATTTGACGATACTGCTGTGAACATTTGGCTTGTCAAAATAATGCATCGGTTCCAGCTTGATCTCTTCATCATCGTCCATTGTTACCGTGACCCCAGGTTCGTTGATGAGAGTCGAATGCCGCGAGGCTTTGTAAATGAGATCCCGGTGGTGATTTTCCAGCGCCGCCGGCATAAAGACCTTTTGGCGCCATGTTAGGAGGAAGTCGTCGAACTCGGGATTGGATGTGGGATTGAAAGCTGGTATTACTTTAAAGGTGTAAGCACAGGTGTCTCAACATGGAAATATGGCATCAATGTCGGCATACCTTTAGGTCTCGAGCGCGTGGTGCTGAATGGCCGCGTCGACTGCGTCCAGCTCGAACTGTAAATATTGCGTCGACAACTTCGACAGACGTAGAGGAAGTTTTGACCGGCCTGCGCCATTGGTTTGATCACACCTTCTCGCTACGTGCCTAAGCTGAGCTACCGTGACTTTCTGAATGGATATGACTGTCCGTGCCTGCGCAACTATCGAATCTCAGTAAAGGTGATTTTCCGCAAGGACCAAAATTCAATTCGCTCCACCTTCCTTTTTCATCGTCAATGAAAAGTGACTGCGACTGAGCTCCGACATCTTTGTGGAAATGAGGTTACTGAACATTGCACTTTCATAAGCTGCCATCCAACATGTCGAAAAGTGTTGCCTCCCGCATGTCTATATGCTGCTGGCGATCTCTGTTTCCAGAGCTTCGACCACAGCATTTCCGCCGGACACTAGTCACGCTACAACGCGGCCCAGTTGAGAAGCACGAAGTCCCGTCCGATCTCCCATCACAGTACTGGTCTCAAATACCGGAAAGATTCAGACCTGATAGAGGTGGATATTTCCAAGCATTTAGTTGATCGACCAGGGATGCTGACAGGTTTCTTAGGGAAACGAGAGATAGTTATACATCAACCACCCCGATCCGAGACCGAAACCTGCAAAGATCCTGTCTCTGTTGTGGACAGCCGACAATTGACTCTGTTGGATCCTACGGGGGCTCGGGCGAAACTGTTCGACAAAATCAACAAGGATCGAGCCAAGGTTGGCGATATTCTGCTTGCAACCTTCACCTCAGGCGAACCAGTCTCGGGCGTGATTCTCTCAATCAAAGGCTCAGGGCCTCACACGTCAGTTCTACTGCGCAACCACTTGACAGGAATAGGAATGGAAATGCAAATAAAGGTGCATAGCCCGTTGGTACAGAGCATGGAAATAGCCCAGAGAGCGCCGAAGAGAAAGAGGCGGGCGAGAATATACTACCTCAGGAAACCAGAGCACGACATAGGAAGCGTGCAGAAAGTGGTCGACCAGTATCTGAGGCAACGAGCCATGTTGACTGGTGGAAGACCATCAAGCCAACTGGGACGGTCGAGAACGAAGAAAGGGAAGAGATGATCTGTGACTTTGGAGCCTGATTGGAATTTGTGTATTGGATGAGGAAGATGCGGTAACACGCTTCTGCTGTGCCTCAGATTGGCTTCAAACTTGTAAGGAAACCGTGATTGTGATATTTTCTCCTGCAAAAATTGACTTGATGAGATTGTACCACACGGCTTAGGCTCAGGCACACGCAACAACAGTTATTTCCTACCTCATCCACGGCTCAGTTTTCTCTCACTTGTTGCTGAAATCGCCTACTACAATTCACCTTGGGTTGCCACTCGGTCTCCAGGCGACCAGCAGTGATATCTCGTCTTCACTGTTGTCACTAACTGTGACTCCGGACGCCTCCATAAATACCTCTTCAACACCCTCTCGATTGCTCCATCTCCTTCCTTTCTCCTCTTCTCTTTCCAAACTGCCTTTTCCTCTTCCCTTGCCCTTCGGTCTACAACAACACAACAGCATGAAACGTCCTGCCACAACAGCCATGTCGACTCTTCTTACTCCCACATCTGACGCTACGTCCACGACGTCTCACGAACTCCTTGAGCGCCTGGGGAGTTTGGACGTGAGCGCGGACCAGAATATGAACCAAACAACCTCCAATATTCTCAGACAAGTCCTTGACCTCATCAAGACTGACGAGACCCTCAGACGGGACTTGAATGTTGCCTTCGCCCGTAACGAGTCTGGTGAATCTTCCTATGGTGTTGGTAACTCCAGTGGTTCAGATCCTCCACGTGAGTTTGATCCCCCAGCAGCTTCAAGTTGCTCTGACATTTCGATGCTGATGTACATAGTGGTTCCTATCGACCCGTCGTCCGAAGCAGCCGAGACTCCTGTGAAGAATGAAGCAGCTGAAGGGGTTGCATTTGAGGATCGCGATGAACAGGCGTCAGCTACTGACTCAAGGTAAGCCACAAGATAACGAGACGGGTAACTGAGAAACCGATGGACTAATTGATACTCTGTTAGTCGGATTTCCAATAGATTCACTCTCCGTCCTATCCGTGTCATGGTCAACAACACCGAGTACTTTGTCCACGAGGATATCTTCAAGGCCCTGTTCCCATACCAAGATCTCCCAGAACGCGACGGTGTCTTCGATCTACCAGACAATTACAATGAGCCATTCGTCGCAGCACTTGAGTTCGAATACAGTGGAAACAATGACGCCCTTTATCAATATCTCATGGCGGACGATCTCGAGAGCCTTTGCGAATTTGCAAAGGATTATGGGAATATGCCTCTGATTGCCGCAATCTTTCAGGTCCGCGGAGACGAGCTCTTCTTTCACGGTACTCTGGAGTGGGTTTCCAAAATCTACGGCTTCTTTGTCGAAGTCCCAGCATTCAGAGATCACTTCCGAGGTTGCTTGAGAACGGAGCTCGTGAGACGACGCGGTCTTGGTTCGTCCCACTCTCTCGTCACCTTGGTCGTAAAGGCATTGTCTAGTGTTGACACCGCCATGGAAGATGTGTCTATGGTGCTTCACAACCTATGGGATTCAAGCACGGAAACAGCGCTGTCCTTACAAGACCAACTCGACGCTCAATTTGACGATCAAGATGACGCTCAAGATGTTGAGAGCAACTCGGACAACAAGAACGACAATGGCTGGAGAAATGCTTCAGACGACGGTGGTTGGGTCTGTAACGACCGAAACGATCATCAGGCTGTCAACCAGGGAAACAATGACATTGCGGACACGGGTGTCAAGTTATCGCATGGTTGGCCCATCATCTCTGCAGCGGACCCTCTTCCACGAACGGATCGACCCAACACGACCAGCGGATGGGGTGTACGCCCTCCTTCACCCACGCAACCTCCCCCAGGAAATCCTGACCCGCCTCACCAATGCCTCTGGGAACATGCGACCTCGCGTCACCTCACCACGCCGGCGTTTTTGCCCGAACCGCCTCCAGCTACTTCCAGCTCTGACGCAGTGACCGGCGACCATGCGACCCCTTTGCAGAAAACCTCCGCCCTCGCGCGTTGCATCAACAATTGGGTGAACCAGCAGCCGCATGGTTTGTGGTTCGAGGCTGAGAATGCCGCTACCGGAGTCGGATGCACCGTGGCAGAGGCAGGAGCTGCCCTCAGAGAACTCCTTGGTATCACCGTGTACACGGATGGCTTTGTCCTTGGGGAAATGATCTACCAATCTCTTTCAGCCAAGCCGAACCCAGTCCCGTTCGGCGCTACATTCGTCGGGCCTCGTTGAGTCCACGACCTAGGAGTTTGACCTCGACCTCGCTGGTTGTGTGGTCCATTGTTTTCGTGGATCAAGCACATCTCGACGCTCGTGCAATGAGGGCCCGTCTGGAGCGAAAGGCCATCTTATCCTCCCAAGATCATTCTCGTGGCACTTTGCTCGACGACACACGCTACACAGGGAGTTACGAGTAGATTGCAAGCGACACACCTTTCCCCCCCAAAACAACAAACCATTCAAAAAGAAGAAAAAAGAAAAGAAAAAGAAAAAAACAGAAAGAAAGAGATTCAATATCACCAAAAAAAAAGGCCTGGAGAGCGAGACAGAGAAATCGAGCACATTTGCCCTTTCCTTTTTCCCTTATCCCTTTCTTTTCGACAGCTCGAAATCTCCAGCAAGGTCAAAGGGGCCAAAAGCAGCGAGGTACCAGATATCTGCCAGAGGCTGGAAGCCGCCTTAGAGCTGGGGGGGAGCGCGAATCCGAAAATCTAGACTCGAAACGAGAAATGGAGAACGAAAGACACAGGATTCTGGACCGGGATCGGATCTGGACCCGGAGCTGGGGCTAGATAGATGATGAGCACCGACTAAAATAGATCCGTCAACTTTGAAAAAGTCGACCTGGAGTTTGAGCCTGAGCATGAGCTTCGCTGTGAAAGTGGGTGGGCTGAATGCAAAAGCGGTTCAAGTTTCACAGGGGGCACGTGCAGCTTCTCTGTTCTTCTGTTGTCTAATCGTGATCGTATATCCATTTCATCTCATTTCATCTCATTTTTGCACTAGTGATCATTATCTGGTCGTTTTTACTTTTCGACATGTGTAAATTTCGTATCTGCTCAACGATAGTATCTCTCAAAGGTCGGCTCAAATCCGTACAGCTCCGTACAGCTCAGCCCAGCGAATCCAGCCCACTCCTTGACTGCCGTCGGACCACGTAGTGATGATAGTTGAATCTGTGTGACCCCGACGTTGTCTGTTGAATGTTTTTCGAGACGTGGGAGGACTCCTGGTTAATAGATGTCGTTCCTGGGCCTGACGGGAGTGGTAACGGGCCTGGCTCGGCTCAGAGCAGAAGCAATGTATAATCCTCGTCGACCTGCACGTGGGTGTTCTCAAGTGTTATCTTCCCACCAACCACCGCAGGTCCTTTGATTGTCACCTGGATCGCAATAGGTCAGGGAGTCAGCATAGGTGATTAAGGAGATGGGATAGATAGGAAAACCATAACGCATAGCAGCGGTAAAGGAAGGAGTTTAGCATAGGAAACGCAGTGTGCAGTAAGCAGGAAAATAGGACCCGGTCGGACATACGGTTGCTCCTCGCGGAGTTCGCGATCCCATAACTGGCTCTTCTCCAGTTAAATTGACCTCCACGCTACTCAGCGGAGCGCCGACGCAGCATACTTTATCGCCCTTGTCGCGATAGTCGAAGATGTTGGTCTGTGCAATCGCACCTGCGACGAATGGACTCGTGAGGGCGTACCCGATCCGACATTTCAAGTGCGTGCGAATACTGTGCAGTGTCGACGACGGCAGGCGGGTTGATGCTGCTGCGGTGATTGATTGCGGGATCAGAAGAACGCGGAGATGCGAGAGGGAATCCGAGGTGGAAGTCTGCTTTGTGGGCAGATTCCCCTGCTGCAAAGTGCGTGTACTCAGGAACTTCGACAATCCGCCCGGAAGGGTTGTGCTCGGGTGAGACAAGTATGCTTGCACGGTCGGCGGAGAGGCGAGCACAACTGTCGGAGAAGTCTGCGAGGTGGCATGAGTGAGGTCGATTTTATCTCCAGAAACGGAGTTGAGAGACAATGTCGCATTCGAGTAAAGGGCGGCAAAGACCCAGCAAAGGGTGTAGCTGTCAGTCAGAGGTGTGGTAGGGAGCAACGAGTCGTTCGGACCGAGCTTTTGAGCGCGGGGCAGCGTGGCGAGAAGGCCAGCGGTGCCAGAGATGAGGTTCTAAAGGATGTCTTGATTAGTACCTAGAGGTTCAGCTGGCAGATGAGGCGTGGTTCAAGAGGGCAGAAGGCCACGATAAGACACACGAGGGGAGCTCACCTCGGAGGTATACTTGATCAAGTCAAAGCCTCCACTAGCTGTCGGACAGAAGACTGACACAGGCGGCACCTGAGAATCTTTGTCCAGCGGCAAAACCTCCGAGTTGGAGGGTCGCTGGTTCTTCTGCACAAGTTCCTGCCACGAGCTGACCGCAAAGCCTTCGGGGGAACCTTCTGTCCATTCCATGTGTTTGTTGACTGCTCGGGTAACCCAAATGATGTTCTTGGTGCTTTTGGCGGCGGCAGACAGGGATTCGAGGTCCAATGTCCCGGCTTCAGCGATCAAATGGTCGGCTGACACCTTGGAGAGAAGCGAATTGAGCTTGTCAGGCGGAAGTCCATATGGCAGAAGGATTGTCGAGAAGCCATAGAAAGAACCAGCTGTTGGTGGACGGTAAGAAACTCGACAGAGAACCTTAAGTGACTGGCAGGAATTTACAACATACCAAAAATAGAAGACAATAATTCGACCGAGTTTGAGAGGCAGACTGCCACCGACTGGCCGTTGTTCCGCTTCACGTATTGACCGATGACATTGATTCCCAGCGTCAGATCCTCAAGATTATGGTCGATGACCTTTTCCAGGCCAAGGACCGTCACAACCTTGCCTCTCTGGCCCGTTGGATTGCCCTCTTCATTGACAGCACCACGGACTGCCGCCCTCCAGATGTCCCGCAGATCTCCAGGTCGGCCGGAACTCCACTTTGGGGTCCCTGGATCTTTGACGCCCAACCCAGCACGGAGAGGATATCCATGAGGGATATCGATGGCGCGGTAGACGGCCGACTCACCTGATTGACGAATGGGTGCGACCTGGGCCTGCCTTGCTAGCAGGTAGGGGTGAGTATCTGGGTCACGACCCGTGAGAATCGGGTAGATGAGGAATACTGCGAGACCGAGCGCAAGGACGGTCGTCCAGATGTTCCATGATGAAAAGAACTCGGCGATGGTGCTGTCAATTCGCTCTGCTAGGCCAGTTTCCGACATGATGGACCAAGTTCAAATATGGGAATGAGTCGAGATGTCGTTGATGGATGTCTAGAAGATTCACAATGTCGACATTGGAGTTGAAGTTCCTCCGAAACCGCCATAAGATTCTTGGCCCGGTTTTTCTTGCTGCTTTAGCGCTATTGGCAGCCGTGTCCAGCCTTGTCCAGCCTCGTCCAGCCTTGCCGCTTCAGTCGCGTCGTTGGACTTTGTCATTCTAACCAACTCTCCTCACATATAGAGAACATGCCACCTCGAGATGGCATCCTCATCGCAATTCATTAAATCTGAAGATCATATTCGCATATTCAACCTGCCCCATTCATCATCCGGGCTTTTCCCTTTGCTTTCAACCCTGCACAGTTGGCTCATTCCCTTCCTCCCGCCTGCTCTGTCTTGTACTTCTCAAACTGCTTGATAAACTCGTCCTTGAAGTCCTTGACATTATTGAGAACCAGCTTGATATGACTCTTTTCCAGTCTACTCTTGCCTTGAGCCCGAGCCAGACCTAGCGCGCTGGTCACAATATTTCGTATCTGGCGGCCGTCGAAGCCCATCTTGACCACATCCTCGAGCAACCATTCCTTGATGTCATCCCAATTTTTGACAAGACCTTTATCGGCCAATGGTTGCAAGAACCCCCCAAAGATCCCCATTGTCTGACTTTCATTTAGACTTACGTACTTGAACGCAACGTGGATGCGGGACTGGACGGCGACGTCGAATTTGGCGATTTGGTTTGTTGTAAGCATTAGAATTCCTGTAGATTCGGTTAGTTTTGTCTCCTTCCGGGCTAGGGTACTTACCCTGATAGTACTCAAGCACTCGAAGGAAAACTGCAGCAGTCAGTCAAGCCAACTTCCTTCCAGCCTTCATATGCTTACCTGAGACCAGCGCATTCCTTTCAGTATTAGCCGCGACTCCCTGTCCTCTACTCTCCAAGAACACGTCGGCCTCATCGCTGGACAGGTCAGGTCAATCTCTTGATATATGCTGAGCCGAATGTAGAAGCTTACATGAGAAGAATAGATTGCCACGAGGTAGCCAAGTCGAAAATCTTCTTCAGATTTGCCTCAACATTCTTTGCTTTGGTGCCCACATCTGCAACGCTGATGGCGAACAGAGGCTTCCTGGCTGCAAGTGCCACAGTCTCGGCGGTGGAAGTCTTACCTACCCCTGGCGGTCCTATGAAATGTCAGTATCTGTCATGGGCACGGTTACGCTCGGCCTTGCTTACCATAAAGGAGAATAACCAAACCTTTCCCCTTTCTGGCGATGATGTCGTCTACTTCGAGGCGGTTGTAATCTGATGAGTCGCTTCTGCCGTGGCCATCCACCAGGTCGAGAATCATCTTTTTGGTTTTCCCATCGTCGGCGAGCTTGAGTCTTGTAGACCAGGCATCGTCAGGGTCCTTGTCCGGGATCTTCGCGAGAAGGGACACCTGCAGCTGAGCCCATTGCTTATCTCCTAAGACGTATCCGAGCACGCGAGGGGGGCAAAGCATATACTGCTCGTCCACCCACTTACTCCTTTGACATGCTTCTTCATCGTACTTAGTTCTGAAGGCCTCGTTCAACAGGTCGTTCTCTCGGCAGTCGTTGCAATTACACTGAGGATTAGTATTGTCTGGCCACAGGGACCCCACGCGAGCGACCGATGGACCGAAGACGAAATATGATTCGAAGTCCACCATGACTCGACTGCTCACCTGAAAAGGAGAATGAGTAATAGTCGAATGAGTGCAGAATGAGACTCACATGTGCAGATTTAGGATGGGGAGAGCGATTCTGCAACCGCGAGATTCGCCTTCGCCTTAAATACTCGAGTTCTTCGTCAAAATATGGTCGGGGTTCATCATCCTGAGTAAGGACTGAGCAACCTAAACATTGCGCAACAGGGAAAGTACCTACCGTATCATCATCTGCCTGAACCCCGGAGAAGCCTTTCTTGATAAGAAGGGCATCTCCTCTGTAGTCGAACAAGCGGGACCCTTGGGTGGCGGTGCAGAAGCTGCGGAATTGGACCCCCTGTTTGATCAGATTCTCCCTCACCGTACCCTGTTGTTCGTGGAGGTCAAAAGGGTAATAAGGCAAGGAGGTAATCGGCTTGGTGCCATCAAAATATTCAAACTCCAGCCTCAATAGACTTCTTTTGAACATGCTCCCGTTCCAGTCGTAGGTCCAGGCCAGCAGAGTCCAGATAGCCTGATCACGTCGCGCAGAATCACTGAAGTATGGCCATGCTCCAAAGTTGTCTTCGACTATAAAGACTTGATCTTGGCCTTGAAATGGTCTGCCATAGACAAGGGAGCCAGGAGAGAAGACGGTCCAAAGATTGTCGAAGGTGACGCAGTTTTGCTGCCTGTGGGAATCCCGGGTTTTGAAATATTTGTCCAACTTCGCATCACCAGAGGAGCTGGTAATTGTGTCAAGCAGAAGTTTCAAATCCGACCGGGCTTGCTTCTCTGCATCGGTTCCACCCTCTTCTTTAGAAGCCTGCTCTAACTTGTCCCAATTGAGAATCAAGGCTTCATAGGGTGAATTGATCGTGCTCGGTGAACCACGGAATGTATGGTATGGATAGTGGCTAAGAAGTCCTTTCAATAGTTCCCACAGGTTTGGATCGACAACGTCAATCTCTCCTTCATCATCTTCACTGTCTCCTACAATTTTTCGTAAGGTGAATGCATGGGAGTTGTCGGTAGACTCGTCAGGGGTGGTGGACTGATCTTCTGCAGGAAAGTCTTTGCGCTCATGGGTCGACAGATCCGTCCTGTTGATAACAATTCTCGCACGCGACTTGGGGATTGTCGCTGTCTCCTCTGGCGATGGTTTTGTGTCGGTATTGCTCGCCGCATCCTTGGAGGTTGCATGTTTGTCGGTGGCTCCATTCACCAATGTTGTCTGTCCAAGTGAGCATCACCAGGAACACCATGTTTCGTGAGGAAAGACGTACCTTTGAAGATGCCTCGCCATTCTCATTGGCACCCGTCTTGCCAACTGATGACTTGCGCAACAAAGCGGTTTCCTCTTGTAATTCGCAATAGCGCTTCTCCAGGGAGATGAACTTCGCCTCTAGGGCCGTGAATTTGTCTTCCAAGGTTGTCGGGCCAGCCATTCTTCCGGAGATTCAGCAGATATGTGCCTTCGAAGGTTGACATGTGGCCGGTCCATCCAACCCCGGGATTGTGTGCTGCATATTTAATAATGCCCTACCACCAAAGCACCGGCGGCAGAGACCATCCACACACACCTCTGTTACATCCTTGTCTCGGACAGACATTGGCCTTCGAACGGTCTCGTCTCGGGACGATCTCCAAGGGCCGAAACGCTGGCTCTTTCAGCCGCTCGAGCTTTGCAGAGCATTCCGAATAGGTGTGCTGCAGAGGAAGGGCGCCTGGACAGTGCAAAATTCGGGTGCTTCGGTCCTTGATTGGATTCAATGGCAGGGGTATCGTTTGAGCTATTACATGATCTCTGACTAGCGACATCAGCGATGGTACTCGTCGAGCGGAGCTGTTGGGTAGCCTGATGGAGGCGATGGAGGCGATGGAGGCGATGGGGGCTGAGCCGAGTTCAATTTCGCGAGAAAAGTGGCTTAACCGAAGGTCCAAGTCACCAACCAGTCACCATCATGCTTCTCTAGACAAACGCTCAGCACTGTACCCGGTATAGCAACCTCTCCGTCGGTCCTAGTCTGCAGGACTTGACCAGCGCGTCCCATCTCCGCAAAGTCGCCTGATTCAGCCCGCGATTCAGCCTTCAAATATGAGACAATCCATAATGGCCCTTTCGTCTTCGCGGCAGCCTTTTGTCAGGCCACAGAACGAATCTATCGGGATTGGCATGCGTCTTTGCCCTCCACCAGATCTGCTCTCGCCTGGCTTGGAGGCTTCGTGGATCCTCATCCGTGGAGTTGTAAAGACCTAACTGTCGCGATGTCGTCTCGATCTCGGATTTCCTCTACGAGCAGCAAGCGCTTCTCTGAGAAAGATCTGTGAGTATGGGTGTTTCGGCGAATGACAACTTTTCGACTCATGACCCCGTCTTCTTCCTAGGGAGGCAATAAAAGCCTCGGAGATTGAGCAAACCAGATTCAGGAAGCTGGTTGCAACGAGCAAGATATACTCCCAGACTGAGAAGGATGCCGCCGAGATTTCCTCGGTCACAGACTTTTATGCATTCTGGGACAAGGCCGTCGAAGCCAGGAAGGATTTCGAAGACAGCCACGAAAGGGGATGCGGTCTGTGGACACGGAAGTATCAGAATGCCGCATCCGTGGTCCGCAGCTTCATGAAAGACTTTGCTCCCATCGTGGATGTCGTGAAAGACTTTGCTGCCCCTTATGGAGGGTTCGCTATAGGGACGATTTCCGTTCTCTTCGCAGTGGGACTACCTGTTGCCGCTCTTCTAAGGACGAGCTAACACCAATATCAGGTTGCTGCGAGCAAAAACGAGATGGAAGCGTCACTCGCATCAGCCATTGCTGAGATTACCGATCGACTACCTGGACTGAATCTGTACAAACACATCTACAACGACAACCACGAGCTCGATATAATGCTTCAAGGACGAATCGTCTCCGCCTACGAGATATTTATCGAGTTCTGCATTCAAGCAACACAGTATTACAAGCGCAAGGGGCTTCGCAGGTGGCTCACAGCCCTGGGTTCGCCTAGTCACCTTTACGACAAGGTCGCGGAAACACAAAAGGTAATACAGGAGATACGGCGCATATGCGATGAGCTACTTGACAAAAATATCCATCTCATCAAGCAACTGAATCTGGAACAGAAAGAAACCATTCGGAGTAAGTACTCCGACAGGCTCAAGCTGGACCGCTAACAACGACAACACAGGGCTGGAGGAACAAGTAGATCAGCTGTTGAAAGCACAAGACAATCATGCGCTCACAGAGATCCAACACTATCTGGGCCTCTCCAGCTTCTCGAGCGAGAATCACCGCAAACAACTCGAGCAATATCGCCGAGCTTTGTACAATGACGACCACCTCAATGCCCCATACTTTGAACAGATGCAGGGCAGGCGGCTCGAGGCATTCCGTGCCTGCAACGACTACCAGTACTGGAGTAACTGCCCACATCCGTGCCTGTTGATCCTATCAGGCCACAACGACAGCAGCATACGTTATGTGGATCACTGCTGGGCCTCCCCCGTGGCCATGACCATGATCACCGATCTAACTAACAAAGACAACGACCATATCTATGGGTACTACGTCTTTTCTCCCCGGGGCGAATCGCTCTGCCACGCCTTCTCGGTCGTCCTTTTACAACTACTCGGCAAGAGGAGCATATTGCTCCGCAACAAAGACCAATGCGACGAGCTACGCGCAGCGCTGAACGATCTTCGCGACTTCCAAGCCACAGAGGGGAAAGACTCCCACCATCGTCATCACTCCCACCAACACGAGACCATGAAACTCTCGACGTTCGAACGGGTCGTGCTCCGCGCGATCGACTTCTTCAGCGAGTCCGAGCAGGTGCACATCATCCTGGACCGGGCGGACCGGTGTTGCGACCTGGTCAAGGGCGTCGACCACCGCAAGTCGCTGTTCAAGCTCCTCGTCAAGCTGGTCGAAGTCGCGCGGTGTAATCTCAAAATCCTCGCCGTGGTCAACGGCGATCAGTGGGACATCGAGACCAGGAAGGACGAGCTGGAACACAGAATCGAGGGGAGAGTCAGGATGCACACTGCCGTGCAGGGCATGCGTGACTAGTCGCCCCTGAAAACCAGGTCTTTTCATCCCGGATCCCAGACCAGATTTGGCACTACAACAGAGAATCCCCGATATAGGACACTAGTGAAAAGTTGAATGCATGTTATGAAGCCAAGGACATTGGTCTGGCTAATAATGTATATATAAATAATTGGGAAATACCTCACCTGGTAGCCAGGCCGACGCTGATTCTCCCCCTCCACGTGTGTGTGTGTGTGTGTGTCTCCAAATGGATTGCTAGCCCCAAGCCACCCCGGTACCATCGAGCGAAGCACCACAACCACCAAAACATCTGCTCACGGTCCTGAAGATGCTTCTTCTCGAGCCAGATACTTCTGCGTCTCCTTGATAGCGTCGTAACTGTACAACCACTGCAGATACGACGGGCTCGGGAACGGCGCATGCATGTTTGCCGGCGGACGAGACTGCGCCCTCCTCTCCTCCTCGGGCCGGGCCAGCTCAGCCTCGTCGACCACGAGCTGTCTGGCCAGAAACGCGTTGCGGGCCTCGGCGTCGTGGCCGTTCAAAAACCCCACCCCGTCGTGACTCGCCGCCTGGATGCGCTCGACGCGCGGTTTGCGGAGCGCTTCGTACGCCCTCGTGGCGTCGGCGATTGGCCGGCCGGTTTCCCACGCCCAGCCGACACATTCGGCGAGGACGGCGCCGTCTTCGATGGCGCACGACCCGCCGGAGCCGGCGTGCGGGAGCATCGCGTGCCAGGCGTCGCCGAGGAGGACCGTGCCACCCTGGTCGCTCCGGCAGGTGCTCAGGGGAGGGAGCTCGGCGAGGCGCCACTGGACGCACGGGCCGATGTTGGCGAGCAGGTCCTTGACGGTGGGACAGGCGTCCCCAAACTCGTCGGCGACTTGGGCCGGCTCGGCCTTGATGCCCCAGTAGCCGTAGGGGACGTTGCAGCCGTCGCCGATGCAGACGACCACGTCATACGGCCTGTGCGGCGGCAGCGGCCACGACAGGATGTATTTCCCCCGCATGAACCAGATTTGGCTCGTGCCCTGCGTCAACAGCCACGCAAGATTCGGGTTCGACTCCATCGCGTCCTTGTCGACTGTGCACCGGTACGCCTTTTCGTCCGAGGGGATCAGCTCGACCGAGGCGATGGCAGGGATGGAGCCCCGGACTGCAGAGCGCAGACCGTCAGCTCCCACGATGAGGTCGGCCGAGAGGGCACGGCCGTCCTTGAGGTACACCGTGTTCGTGTCCACGTCGACGCGGGTGACTTCGGCATTGAACAAGATCTTGGTGCCGTACCGCTGGGCGCCTTTGGCGAGGAGCTGCTGGTAATCCGCGCGGTGGATACTCCATTTCGGGGCCCCCCAGAGGACACCACTGTGGTTCCCTTGATTGTGAAAGACGGCACCCAGCCGCCCATTGTCCGCGCCGTCGCGGAGATCGATGTATTTGTTTTCTGTGACGCAGGGCCTGAACTGCTGCTCCAGGCCGTAGGCCTTGACGACCCTGACCGCGTTAGGATCGATGCTGATGCTGGCACCGAATTCGTTCAACTCCGATTTGCCTTCGAGGACAGTGACCTCCAGACCCTTGCGAGACAGTCCAATCGCCGCCGACAGTCCGCCAATGCCGGCACCTACTATCAGCACCGAATAGGGCTTCGAAGGTCGGTCAACGCTTCCCATTGTAGCGATCGATCAATGTAGACCAAGTCTCGGAGCGTACTTTGCATTGAGAAGAGAACGATGGAGAAGATATACGTCTTTGAAGACCCGAGTGAGCTGCTTACCTGCCTGATCATACCTGGGTACCATCGTCAAGAATCCCATACCGTGTGGACATCTTACCGCTGGTCAGCTAAGACCGCCTCTAAACCCGCCTGATCTTCTTGAAAAAAAAGGGATTTTCTTCAGTGAAAGACGGGACTCCCTCGAATCCGGAGTCATAACATCGGACGCCTTATGAGAAGGGAAATCTTAACACGAGGGAGAAATAGGAAACAGGCAAAGGGTTCAGAATGAGGTTGCTCATACAGAGTCCACTTATACAGAATACCTCGTATGCAGCCAATCGAATTCGAACCCGTCTGCGACAAACCTTGCGATCCTAGCTCGCTAGATAGACCAAGGAACGAGGAAGTAAGCGAGGCAAGCGAGGCCTTACAGGAAAGAATTGCGGTTGGTGTCCTCGCCCACCTTGGCAGGACAGTGTTGCTGATCGCTTCCCATTTCTCGACCAGGCTCAATAAGCGTCTGAGATGACAAGATGATCAACCATTCGCGTCTTTCATTTTGTAGCTCATACTTTGAGACCAATCGAGTTGGTGCGACATGAAATCTTTCACGGGAGTGTGTTTAGACAGACCCAAGATCTAACTAAGTCTTCGTCTTCAAATCGTCCTCCGAAAACGCCACTTGCCCAACACGGGTATGAGAGAGCCTCTCATAGTTTGCTCTGGGGTTCATAGAACTTCCGACTCCTTTCAATGGCCTCCACAGCCTCCTTCTCGATTCTCGTTAGAAGCACCTGGCACGTTGGAATATCATGAATCAGCCCAATGACTTGACCAGCAGTCCAGACGCCAAAGTCCTTGTCTCCGTTGATGAAGACCTCTCGCCCACGTTTCCCGGACACGTATGGAGCCACCTCTTCAAATTTGCCGGTGGTGCTGCTCTTCTCGATCGCGACAGCTTCCTGAGCAACCTTGTTCTTGAATAGTCTGGACGTGTTCCTCCATCTTCTCAACACGAGCTCAGTATCGTGTTCCGAGGCATCCACAATTGCTTGCTTGATGTTAACGTGGATTGGCGCTTCGACAGTGCACATAAATCTCGTGCCCATGTTGATACCTTCCGCACCTAGGGCTAGGGCGGCGGCCAGTCCCTGGCCATCCGCAAAGCCGCCAGAGGCAATAAACGGAGCTCCGAGGGATTGTCTCGCTCTTGAGAGCAGGATGAAGTTGGTAATATCCGATTCACCCACATGGCCAGCACACTCAAAGCCGTCGATCGATAAGAAGTCCACGCCAAGCTTTACAGCGGATTGAGCATGTCGGATGGTAGTACACTTGTGAAGAATGATGATGCCAGCGCCTTTCAGTTGCTTGATGACCGGGCCAGGCGAATTGCCTGCTGTCTCCACAATCTTGATTCCCTCATCGATGCAGACTTGGGCGTACTCGCCATAAGGTGGAGCGTTCATCGTGGGTAGGAGAGTGATGTTGACAGCGAATGGGTTCTTGGTCATGGTCCTGCATTTTCGGATCTCCTTGCGCAGGTCCTCCGGGGTAGGTTGGGTCAGAGCTGTGAGCTAAAGATCTGATTAGCACGATTGATAAAAGTTTTCGGATTCCACCGACTTACAATACCAAGACCGCCTGCGTTAGATACAGCAGATGCCAATTCGGCATATCCGACCCATTGCATCCCACCCTGGACAACGGGAACTTTTCCAGTGTTAGCAAGATATGCGCCAGACGTACAGCTTCCAGAATATACCTTTGATGCCGAGCCGGCGTGTGAGTTCGGTGTTGAAAACCATTGTTGTTGTGGTTTTGGGTCGTACGAGGAGGCAGTCGGCGGTATTCGGGAGTTCGACGGTCCAGTCAGGTCGGCGTAGAATACAACAGGCGGGAAGGAAGGGTCAGGGTATGAGAGAAGAAGAAAGTGGATGTAGGTCAGAACACCATGCTTTCCTTCATATATCGATTCATAATTATAAATGACCGAGGTGATCACAAATTCCCAGCAACAGTTGGCGCAGGGACGCAGGGGGGGCACATGGGGACAAAGTTGTGGGGAGGAGAGTCGAACCGCGTGAGTCGAGTGCAGCCGGGGACCGAGGCAAATCGTCCCAGATTGTTAAAGGTCCGTTACAGGAAGAGACACCTTATTATTGCCGACGGATCACCGCAACCGGTGGAATAATAGCTATGTCACCTGTCAGCACCTGGAGAGTAGTAAGCACATCCACGCGTGAGTTTGCAGTTGGAAATAGTACCTAGGCAGTGTATAGCTTGCTTGAGTGATGCTGAGAGAGGGGAAAGAGAGAATCCCGGAGCCGCAGTTGACGTCTCGGGGCGGCAACATCGTTTATCCGACCTGAAGTACTTGTACCTCGTACTCGGTAGTTGCAACACAGCCTCAAGTTCAACTATTGGTCCCGAGTACTCGCAACATCGTACAGCATGTCCCATATTCGTCTGTTGTATCGAGTACAAATGGAAGGGCGGTTGATGTAGGTACGCTTGGACTGACGAAATAGTCAATGCACACTGATACCCATGAGAAAACCCCCGTCCACCACAGATGCTCTTTGGATGCATTATGAGCCTGTCTGAAGCCACTGTGTTGGTTGTGACATCTTCGCGAGGTCTTCGGCCGTAAGACTTGGTCAACAGCGATTGGGCAAGCGCCCAGCCTTGCCTGAGCCTCGCGAAATCTTCTGTAAGGAGGCTAGTCTGTCTTGGGAGCATCGAGGCATCTCAGTCATGATGCCATATTATTCCCATCGAAAACCTTCGCATCCTATTTCGTTTACCACAACCCGTGCTCTTAGCCGTCCACCTAATTGTACAATCCTCAATTGTCCTCCGATCCCAGGACTTGTACAGCCTCCAGCGACAGAACCCAATCCTAAACGAGTATTTTACGCTTTGGGCTAACCACACGCCATGATTCATGATATTGAGGTGCTGTCCTGATTTGACAACTCTTGTAAAAGCATATTGCACTAGACCGGAAACAACCATGTTGCGCGAAGTGTCTGCTTGGCTTGTGCGCAGGTTGTTGTCGTCGTTCCGTTCCTTCTTGTCGGTATGAGCAGTGCCTGGACCTAGTGGACATCATGGTTCAAGTTAAATACTCAGCCGAGTGACTTCACTCACCTGAGATCTGTGAGTGTCCATACTTCCACTGCGTCTTCTCTCCCTGCCCTGTACCAAGTTGAGAGACGGGGTATTGGCTACCAGGGCGAGATTCCTTCTTATTCAAAGCACTTTGTTGCGAGTCTTGCTAGAGGCGTTCGTGATGTCCGTCAACCCCTCTCACGTCAATCCGCTCGATTGCAATGAGGTATCCGAACAATGTCCCGTCGAGGCCTCGATATATGGATATTATCCGACTCTGGGATCGAACGCCTTTTTCAGCGCCCTCTTTGGACTTTGCTTCATTATCAATCTTGGCCTCGGCTGGCGCTATAGGACGTGGTCATACATGACTGCCATGACCCTTGCCAGCATATCTAGCTGCATCGGCTACGTTGGTCGATGTCTCATGCACCGCAACCCTTACGACTCTGTCGGCTTCGAGATTCAGATTTGTTGCCTCACTTTTGCTCCTGCATTCAACGCTGCAGCGATCTACCTGATATTGAAACATCTGGTCTTACAGATTGGACGAGAATGGTCGAGAATCAGACCGAAATATTACACTTGGGCTTTCATCGTCGCCGACTTTCTTGCCCTGACTCTGCAAGCGGCTGGTGGGGGTATAGCAGGGTCCGCTGGAGACGACGAGAGCTTTCGAAATGTTGGAGACAGACTCATGATCACTGGTATATCTTGGCAGGTCCTGACTCTTCTAATATTTGGAGCGGCCACATTGGACTACTCAATAAGGCGCTTCAAATCTCAGCCACTGTCCGAATCTACCCAGTCCTTGGTGCACGATTTGAGGTTCAGGGTCTTTGTTGTGGCACAATTGATCGCCTACATAGCCATCTTGATTCGATGTGTCTACCGGGTTGCGGAGATGGCGAATGGTTGGCGCAACCCCATCATGCAGAATCAAGGCCTCTTTATCGGACTTGACAGTGTGTTAGTATAGTCCCTTCCTCCATACTTTGACAAGGCTCTGACATCAGATCAAGCCAGATTGGCGTCGCCACGATCCTTCAGACATTTATTCACCCTGGGTATTTCTTCCCAGCACTCGCAGACTACGGGGAACGGAAGAAGGCACGAAAGACAAGCAATGTCACTGAGGATGCGATCCACGGTGAGAGTCACCTGGACAAGGCCATGGTTGAGACCGAGCATGTGCGAATCGATCCGTGTTGAGGCTGCCCACAAGTTGTGTGCTCAAATGTCGCGGGCTCTGGGAATAGAGGATTTATCTCGAGATGACGTTAGTCATGAATATAAGTATACAGTTAACGATAACCCAGTGTGATACCAGGGGCATGTCAGCCTCGTGACATGGACAATCGAACGCAATGTGGCTCACCTCACCTTAAAATGTCTTGGCTCGTCGTCATCTAGACTCCGACTTGCCGATGCCCGCAACTCTGCCTTCTCGCTCCAACATGTGGTGAAGTGGTGAAGTTACACGACGTGATCCATCGACCTTCGTTTCAGTGCTTTTCAATGCGCCGTAGGAGTCACACTTCTGTTCCGTGCCCGGTTCACTCTCAAGTCTACCTGCGATGTGCGGTTTGAACCATGGGTGCATCAGAGTCGAAGTTGGTATTCAAACAAGGCATCTTCAGGCTCTCTGAAGAGAGGAACATTGCAGCCAATGACCCATACTGGACAAATGTGAGGTGTACCATGGCTTGTGTGAGGTGACACGCTGATAGTCGCAGTTTTGGGAGTTACCTGAATCCGTCGAGGATGTCTTCAGTCTCTTTTCACATACCGACATTCGCAGAACCCGAGATTCCGCGCTCGAGAACCTCGAAACCCTCATTCTAGCCGTTACATCGCGCCTGATCGTGTTGAAGAACCACCCCTCGTTTCCAGATCCTGATCTTGCCCCGGAACGGGATGCCCTCAACTGCATACGAGTCCTCACCCGTCTCCTCCCATACGTCTATGAGGCCGACGACTTGGCAGAATGGGAGGAGAAGTTCTTCTGGGGATTGAGGCGGCGCCGGACGAGAAGATCTCAAGTATCGGGTGAAATACTGTTCGACGATAATCAGATTGAGGAGAATACCCCTACAGACAATCGCGAGCCCGAATTCGAAGATGTGAAGCCACTGGCGGAAGAACTCATCGACACATTGATCGATCTCCTCTTCTACGCTCGTTTTACGATACCTGAGCTACCACAGGCGAAAAGCAAGGTCACGTACGCAATCTGGCAGAGTGGTGTGGGTTGTAAATCCTCCATCCCAACGAACAAAGAGCTCGAGAGCAACCGGTGCGAAGTCCTCAGGCTTCTCCTGACCCTGTCCAGCAAGGCCATGTACACGCATTCCAATGTTCTCCCTGTTCAAGGTGTCAGGGCTATCACATACCTAGTCACATGTCCAGACAAGCAGATTGTTCTCTCGACGTTGTGCTCTCTGGTCAATACCACGATCAAATCGAATCTGGGTTCATGGCGTCTGCCTTACGACCATGTGGTGCGGAAGGATTCCAAACAGACTCTTGTCGTCTATAGCTTACAACTCCTCCTCGTCCTTCTACTATACCCGGTTCCCGAAAGCGGAAATGGCCCAGCCCCAAAGAATTTCTACCGCCATTATCTCGGTCGGCTACACAGACCGGAAGATTTCCAGTTCCTCGCCGATGGCATGACACGAGTTTTGAGCCAGCCGATGCATGCGACAACTTCATATTTACCTGGAAGCCAGAAGTCAGTCAAGTGGGCGCCAGAAATGATCATGCTCTTCTGGGAAGTACTCCAATGCAACAAAAGATTCCGGACTTTCATCATAGAGTCCAATCGCGCACATGATTTCGTCATCCTCATGCTCTTCTACGCCATTGAATACAAGACGGACACGTCGAAGCAGGGGATTGTGAGGATGTGCGTCTTCGTCCTCCAAACCATGAGCGTCGAATCCACCTTTGGGAACAATCTCAACAAAAAGTTTGAAGCACAGGATACATTACCACCATCCATTCGTTTGGCAAATTTCAAAGGCACCTATGCGGACTTCTTAATCACATCTATCCACACGTTGATTACAGGGAGCAAAGGCAAACTCGAAGCCATATATCCTGCCTTGTTGGCCATCATTAATAATATGGCCGCCTATGTGCAGCATCTCTCGCTGGCTGCAAGCACTCGCCTAGTGCAGCTACTGGTATCAATGTCAAGCCCAAGTTTTCTTCTTGCAAATGAGAGCAACCACGTCCTTCTCCGGGCGCTGTTGGAATCTATCACCACTATGATAGAGCACCAATATGCATCCAATGCAAATCTGATATATGCTGTCTGGCGGTCAAGGAGACGCATTGAGGCTTTAAGACAGTTTACGCTGGAAGGCGGTCAAGCAGAGATCGAACGAGCTACTCAACGGCGCAAGGAGAGCGCATTGGGCGATAATGCAAACGGCATTTCCAGATCGTCCACGCTGGACAATGTGCACACGCCAGAAGCTCGCGGTGGCATGTCACCACACCCGGACAGTGCGGTGGACGGCACGTTCGCCATTGGAGATTCGGACGACTCGGATAATGAAGAGCCACCAACTCCTTCTCAATCGACCCATTCGATGCAGACATCTCGCACACCTTCGATAGGGTCGTCATCTGTTGTTGATGATCACGTTCCCGTTCAGTTATCGGGCATGTCAGAAAAGGCCAGAGGTAAGATGCCGGCGAATGCCCCGACATTCTCACGACAAAACAGTACAACAAGCCTTTCGGCGAGCTCGACATATGCCACCGGCCGTGGCTCATTTACAGCTACTTCAGAATGGCTAGAGAGCTGGCTCCCCGATCTGCCCCTTCACACGCTGCTCACTGTGATCAAAGTCCTTTCTACGCACCCTCTCGCATCACCACGGGTTGGGAACACGGGCGGCACTCAGGGTGATACAACAAATCCACCGTCGGTCACTTCCTCGCGGCGCTCGTCACTCACTGGAGGCGACGAGCCATCCCCTGTCAACTCCCCGACTACAAGTCCAACGGACTTCCGCTCTCAAATTCCCTCCACGGCTACGCACCCTGCCATCGCTGCGATCCTTGCTTCCCCATCCCCCATCCGAGTACACCTTTTTGAGTGGTCGCCACTGTCCCTAGGATGGTACATGTCTGTACTTTGGTCATTAATATTCACGGCGGAAATGACCATCTTGCCCACCTCCAGCACGGCGGCAACATTGACAGGAGGCGGAGTGATGGCCGGGCCGGTAGGTGTCTGGAACGGCACGAACGTGAAACTATTCCAGGTTGCCACTGAGGGGAGAAGAGAAGGTCCAAGCCTAAGCCAGCCAAGAGGAGCGGTGGATGCAGTGGGTAGCAGGATTGTCCAGGGTGTTCAGGGGTTGAACCTGAGTGGTCTGGTGTCTCGAGTGGGAAATGGAGTGAGAAGCGTCAGTGCTACCAATAACGGGACCGAAGGTGCTGCTGCTATGCAAGGAAGACGCACCACAAGGGAAGTCTAATCTTTATTATTGCGCTTTTTGCCATTGTCTGAGGGTTTTTTTTTTTTTGAGAGCGAATTTGTCACGCTAGATCAGACGCGACGACTGCGGTACAAGGGCGTTTTGAGAGGACAAGAACTAAGGCGTGCATGAATGCAGTTTCACGATCGCGGGCGTTTTAGAACTCTGTGCTTGTTTTTTTTTTTTCGAGCGCACGGCCGTCCTTGCTTTCTTCCTTTTCCTGTTTTTGCCTCTTATCTTCTTCTTCTTGCGCTCTGCAAACATGTCCAACGACTTAAATGAGCGAGTGAACACTTTTGCTTTTGCGAGTTCCTGGGTATTCTCTTCGTGTTCGATACCCACAAGTACGTCTCAAGTCAATAGAATGCGATCTTGTCTTGTCTTGTCGGGCTAGTTGAGGGTATTTGTACCGAGGTGGACTGGATAGAGACGAGGCGGGCATAGGACTATGTGAGTGGGGGGGGGG